AGGGTATTATTGCCCTGAGAGCCCTTGGGAGACAATGCCAACATAGGGGTGTTGGCCCAGCGCAGAGGGAACTGGCATACTATGTTTGCCATGGGTAGTGGGGGTGGTGACAGCAGCAGGGGCTTGCTCAACAGTGGGCATGACAGAGAGCTGGCACTGGAGCCTGTGATGGAGGGCTGTTGTTGAGGTCATCATGCTCAGGAGCAAACATGATTCAGCCCCCCCCCCCATCTTTTAAAAGAGGGTCTGGAGGCCCTACTATATCAGTGGGGGGCAGGGATAAGAATATACATATACTCTTATGATCTTATAGCACCTTATTATTTTTAACCTAAACCCACAAAACCTGGGTCCCATGTAACCCAAAGACCCAGCACAGAGTAGTGGGCCTTCCAAGTGCTGAGCCCTCACCCACCTGCTCCGCCTCAGACACAGACAACCTCGTCCTACTCTTTCTTCCCCACACCCATTTGCTCCCTGCTCTCAGCTCAGACATCTGTTCCCCACCCACTCTTTCATCACCATCCTCCCATCTCTCAGCCTGCTCCTAGGTGATGCTGTCTGTCTGCAGCATCCTCCCTACCCCTGTCCCCTGTCACAGAGTCACAGACCCTCAAGATTTTCCTCTAACATTTGCAAGTCCCTGGCATCCCCAGTGCTGGACATGGCCAGTCCCAAGGCAGCTAATTCCATTATTGCACAAGTCAAATCTACCTCCCAGGAGACAAGCTGGTCCTGGTATGTCTCCTGGGGGTTCTGTCAAATGAGTTCACTCATTATATTCCATGACAGCTTTTGTCTCAGACATGTGACACTGGAGCACTGTTTCATGTCACCTGAGTTCCCCATGTCCAGGCACTCACTGGATCAGCTAGAAGATGGATTTTTCTAAAACATTCAAAGTATCCATCTCCCCCCAGATGGGACCTTGCAGCTTATAGGGTAGTCCTCACCCCTTAGACTGATATTTATGGTCTGTCTCCAATTTTATGTACACAAACCCTCAAATGCAAGTAAACCAGTGTCTGCACTCTTACCAGAACATTCCATAACACTCCTGCCTCTGGGTTCCAAGCCATGCTTATTTTTCTCCTTTGGAGGCTTTACTGGCTCTGAAATGATCCTCTCCTCACCCTGTAGAATATAGTCCTCGCCTCTGTGCTTTGCACCTGCTATTTTATTTTGGATGTTAGTCAAGCTGTCCAGGACTTCTCAGGAGTCGTCACTACTGCCCTTGGTCATTTATTTAAGAAAATATTGTTTTCATGTATGGGTTCTTTCTGGAATGTATTTCTTAATTTGAATTTGTTGGATTATTCCAGAATAAGAATTTGAGTTATTAATTTTCTTGACTTCTTCTGCTACTTACCAGTGACTTAACTTGGTATGTTCTCCAATTTCACATTTCTCTAGTGTTTTTCAGTATAACCTTTGATTTTTCTATACATATCAGGCGTGAGTTTTAAACTCTGTCCTCATTATAGGCAGGAACTTGAAGGAGTCAGCTGAGAGCACATATCAGGAAAAATAAATAGGGCTTCACTCTTGGCTTTGCTGACACTCACCAGCTGTAAGAACTTCAGCATCTTATTCCATCTTTAGCTCCAGTTGTCCTCATCTGTTAGAAGGACAGTACCCACTGCCTGTGCCATGAGAAGCCATGAGGATTTGATCAGAGAACATCTCAGTGAAGTACACATGACACAACAGATACTGGCCACTACTCTCAGTGATTCTCCAGGTCAAGTGCTTCAGCCCTGCACAGTGAGTTAGGAAATGCCCAAAGCAGGCCTCTGACAACAGTGATAGTGATGACAAAAAAAGTCCAGCATGGAATCACACAGCTCAAAATTACTAGAAAACTGTGATACTACCACTTTGCCTGGGTAGACAAGCCTGGGCACTTCTTCCTTATCCACTGTGATTCTTGGGGAAATCAGGTGATGTGTAAGTCTGAGAGGATGAAGGGGCTTTGGGGTCTATGGTAAGAAGAGAATGGTCATTAAACTTTAGAGGCTTGGAAATCTACTCACCTCTTCTCTCCCTACTGTATACACCAAAGATCAAGGGCCAAAGTATTGATGATGTTAGGGCAAAGTAAGTGCTCCATAACCCCACATGAAAGGTGCAGATAGAAGTGGAGATGGAGAACATGCTTGGGTTAGTAGGCCCAAGGTCTTTCTTCCTGTGAGTTAATACCTAAAAGTGACTCAAGGGTTATGGTGACCATGACTCCTTTCCCCTGGGCTCTGGAGTCTACTGCTCCTCACAGATATGAACCCAAAGACAGGTGGATAGGAGGAGAACATGCTGCAACTAGAGGACACATCAAGGGCAAATGGCGAGCAGCAGCCTTAGCATGCTTGTGAGTTCATTGAGTCTCCTCTACTGACCCTTTAAAGTAGGTGGTATTATCTCTCCCATTTTGTAGATGAAGAAACTGAGGCATTACTGAAGCAATCTGCCCAAGGTCATCCAGCTGTGGTCAGAACTGGGACTTGAACTCAGGCAGACTTATTTCTGATTTGCCTGTTTTATATCCTGCCTCTTCTAAGGGACTCTATTTTGTGCCCTCAGCCTCCTGGAAGTGCTCATTTGAGCCTCTCTCCATTTATGAGCACTTACACCATAAGACAAGCAAGCTCACAGGGAGTGTTCTGGTGAGGGAGCAGGCAATAACCTGCATGATTTTCTTACAAGTGTGTGCCTGTGTGTCCCAGTATTAAACACAACCAAAAGGTGAAAGGGGCAAATTTGTGTCCAGGTTTGTAACTTGGAGAACAGACTTTGATCATCACTAAGATAACTAGACATATCTTTACTGTATCTCGCTGGCCCTTTTCTCCTTCTAAGCTGCCCCTGAGGGATGAGGAACATCCCTCAACTGCCATATTCTTTACCAGTGGTCCTTACTCTTTCCCAGTTAGCCCAAGAATGGCTCCAGGCCTAAAGGTCTCAGAGCTATAGGCTGAGCTATAAGCTAAGGGCCTTCAGTGTGGCCTGTTAAGAAATGATGAGCAGGGACCAAATATATTCTCAGTCTTGGGACTCATTGGGGAAATACAAAGAGAGTGAAGCTGTGAGCAGTGGGAGTTGAAACTGAAAGAATCCGGAGGTGGTTAAGGCTGTGGGAACGGAGGCCAAGGAAACTGACATTGCAGCAGAGCTACAATGTAGGAGAACATCATAGAGTTGGGGGTGAGAATGAGCTGGGTGGAGGTGAGGCAGACACAGAAGAGCTGAGCCAAGGGCAGCGTGAGGATCACAGCAGTTGGTGTTCCACCCAGTATGCACCTAGGAATCATCTGGAGAGCATTTAGCAAATACTGGTGCTCACAGCAGAGATTCTGTTTAACTGGGGTAGAGTAGGAACTGGGCATTAGATTACAAATCACTCAGGTGAATCTAACAGAAGGCAAAGCAAGGGTGGAGAATGCTGACCTTCAGAGAAGCTCCTATTGCCAAGGTTCATGGCTCTCCACAGCCTGCTAGAGCTCTGCAGGAGGCCCAGGGTTCAGGCTCTCTTCCTTTCACTGGCAGGCACTTTCAAATATTGAATCACTCCTGCCTTGTTCCTTACTAACAGAATCCTGATTTTGTACAGGTACTGGGGCAGCAATATGGTTCTAGAAAGATGGGCTCCATCCCAGAGGGTAAAGCCTAATCAAGCGAGCCAAATATAATTCCATCCCGATGTGATTACTGCTCAATTAACTAACCCAGGAGCCATGTGCTCTCAAAATTTTTAAAAAATATTTTTAGTTGTAGATGGACATAATAAATTTATTTTTTATTTTTTGTATGTGGTGCTGAGGATTGAAGCCAGTACCTCACATGTGCTAGGCAAGTGCTCTACCACTGAGCCACAACCCTAGCCCAACTTCGAAATTTTTTATTGCTCACTATGAGCCAGGTGCTGCCCTAAGCCTTTTTCATGTATCAACCTACAGAATCCTTAATAACCCTGATGTTGCTAGATGATAAGGGCCGTCTTTCTGCACCAGCACCCCCACCAGGCCACAGCCTGAGCCATCAGAACTGGGTGTTTCCTCTAATAGCAGCCTTCTCACATGCTGCATGCCACGCAGTGAAATTAAAGCATGTCTCTTTGTGAGGCAAAGGGCATGATGTATATACTCCGGAGGCATTTTAAAAACAGTCAAAAGACAGCAAAAGCCCTCACAACCAGGGAGTTCTGTGTCTACAGACTAAAGGTCCAGCTTGTACTGCTCTCACTTCATAAAATGCTCACCCCACCCTCTTTGTCAGAGGCTTTCAGTGGCTGGGTGCAGTGGCGTAAACCTGTGGCTAAAGAGGCTGAGGCAGGAGGATCACCAGTTCAAAGCCAGCCTCAGCAAGGCCCTGAGCAACTCAGTGAGACCCTGTCTCTAAATAAAATATTAAAAAGGGCTGGGGATGTGGCTCAGTGGTTGAGAGCCCCTGGGCTCAATTCCTCATATGTATAAACAAATAAGGTGATGCCTTTCTTGTCAATCAATAAAGCCTCCTGACTGGCTCCCGACCATCTATCTTGTCACTCCCTCACTGGTCTCTCTGCTCTTCCTCCATTGCTTCCCTCATCCCCTTTTCGCCAACCCTAAAGCAATGGGATTTGAGAGAAAAGAAAAAACAGCACTCACAAAAACAACCCAGGTGACAGCAGATTTTAAAATCTAAGTTTCAGGACAGTGGAGAGTTTCTAAATATTAGCAATTGCTCACAATGGCCTGGATTTATCTTCATAATTGGCTTTCTTTTTCTACTGTCCTGATTGCCTCTGCCTGAGCAGCTCTCTAGGAAAAGGCCTGGATGGCCTCCTTCATGGCTCTGCCCCAAGGACTGGTCACAACCTGCACAGAGGAGGCATGTATATCCTCTCAAAGCATCTCAGCAATACCACCACATCTTTGTTTCACCCATCTTCATAATTCTTCACAAGTTCTGCAATTGCTCAACAGTGGCTCAGCCCCTTGATTCAGGCTCAAAGAACACTACAGGTACACAGTTTCTACAGATTTTATTTTCACCGTTGAGGTGAGTATACACAAGCCTGGGCAGGCAGAGGTCTAGGAGATGCAGTATCACAATTACCTGCCCTAGGTCACAGACACAGATTGGAAAAGGAGTCTTGTTCCTACCACAAATTGCTATGGGATTATCACAATGACACATTTATTCCCAGTTCTATTTACACCATGGAGTGTGGAGAGGGTACATTTCTTACACTAAAAATATATACTTTGGAATCTCTAAAACAAAAATAGCTCTATCTCTACATGGGACCTACTAGAAAGAACAACATAGAAAACAAGAGAAATGTACCAGCACCTCAAGTTGTCCCCTTGCAAGGGAAGGTTGCTCTACTCTCCACCGGACCCTATTTAGCTTGGAAGGGCAGCCGTTTCTAACCAATCAGACAGACAGACACAGAGAAACAAGAGGGAGACTTATTATCCCAGAGGAATGAATATGGGAGAAGGGGAGGAGGAGGATTTTGGCTTCTTATACAAAAGGAGTAATTGCACATTCAGTTTGGTGCTTCTGTTTCCAGCGTTATTGCACATGTGAAAAACCTGCATGTTGAAGTCATCCGCAAACCTGCTAAGCGAAGCCCAAGCTTGCTGATTTCTGCTGGGCTCAGAAATGTGCCGTGGGTGGGTTCTCCCTCTTCTCAAGAAATATTAATGTCATCAGCTAGAAGAAAAAGTTCTGTATTCCCCATGCTGAAAGTGGGTTAAATTTAAGAAAAAATGTTATTCTTTATCTCTTCAGAAGGGTCAGAAACCATTCCATTCCCTTTGAGCACAGAATCTTCTAAAAGAATTATGCCTATGGATGAATCATTCAACTTCCTGAATTTTCCACTGGAAAGGTTCACGTAACACTCCTTTCCTCTTTTCACACTTCAAGCAGTGATATAGTTACTTCACACTTCTTTTGGTTATGAAAATTACCTTCCTTTCTGACAAAAAAAAATGTAACTGAGTCAACCGCCCATTCTCTATAATTAATGTTAGGAGACCAGGGACAGCAAGAGTCATAAAGAATAGATTTAGTAGAAAAATCACTTCTACTTGGCTTTGGAATGTCTTTTTCTTTTTACACTAAAATATGGATGAGCCTGAGGGCTTGAGAGTCCTCAGTCCCTCACCAAAAAATAAGAACATAACCATACAGTCCCCTTTCCAAGAAGCCCAGCACTGATTGACCTCCTTATTCCTCTATCTACCCCAAACTGGTAGTGGTTTTGGGACTTTTGATCAAGAACTTCTTCCCTCCCAAGAGAACTTGAAATACTGAGGAAAAGGTAGGAGGGAAGAGTTAAGGGTGCTTGAAAGCTGAGATAGTAAAAGGGGAAGAACTTGAATGACATCTTACTTGGCTAGCCAGGGCCTGCTCAAAGGAGGCCCAAAGGCTACCACCAGAAAAAAGTCAAGAAGGCTGGGAACATTCAATGCAGGGTTCCTGGTTGGCCTGCTAGGATGTAGCTTAGGAACCTGAGAAATGTGAGGAAAAATGTAGTGACAAACTTGCAAAAATGATTGTTTAAAAGTCTTAGGAGGAGGAGCTGTCTCTCTTGCAAAAGAACTTCAGAGACTTTGATAAAGTGGCAGAGAGAGCATAGTGGGTAGTGTTTCTCATTCTGATTTTTTAAAAAGGGGGGTTCTGGCATCAAACCTGTTCCTATGCTTCAGGAAAACTTGAGATACAGAACATGGACAACAAAATCAACAGAGCAGATGCAGGGAAGATTATTGATTCCTCTACTAAGAGGGAAGTGTGGAGAGTTGAGTAGGCAGAAAATAAAGTAGAATTAAAAACTGTCCTTTGTGGATGACCAGAAACCACAGATTCCCCAACACTAGAGACCTCTTGAAGGTCACAGCTCTCATAACCTGAGCTAGCAACCAAGCTGGATTCTTAGCATATGCCAGATTTTTATCAAACACTAATAACTAACTTAAAAGCCAGTCACAAACCAGACAAAGAGAAATAATGACTATTCACATTGTCTTTTGGAACAATATGGTTCACTTGTCCTCTACCCCCAAGTTTTTATGAGCAAGAGTTGAGGAGAGGAGCTGCATGTTGTAAAGACCATTATCTCTCAACAATCCTTCAGAAGTTGGAAATCATATCTAGCCACAAAGAGTCAATCTGTGTTTTATGCAATCAAACATATTTGGCAATTTTACAGTACATTTCTGCTGGTCTTTGCCCTCTCTGTAGACCAACTCTTAAGTTCCTTAAGAGTCATGACCAGAAAGCAAACTGCCCACTTAGAACCAAACTCCACTTACCATCATTTTCTTAAATCCCTGGCCTCCTTCCCTTCCTACGACACCACTAGCCTGTCAGGGTGTGCCAACAATTTCAACCGTTCTTGAATTTTCCTCTCATCATGAAAGCAACTGTGGGCCTGAGAAACACCTAACAACCTGTCTTTCTTTCTACTTCTAAATCAGTTTCTCCTTTATTGAACTTCAAACACCTTTCTTCATAGATTAATCTGCCTGTATTTGTCCTTCAGCTATTTTATCAAAGGAGCTCAAATGAGAATTCCCTAGATGGGAGAATGACCGCATTTTTTCAATTTTCTAACAGCCAGGTGCACAAAATGCTTAAGAGTAGCGATGAAAACCTGCAGCTACAGTCTGTCCTGTTTGTCACTATGTGCACACGCATACACACTGCTGCTGTTTCACTGCCTCTCCCAGTTTCTTGCCCCTAAATGCTGCCAGTATGACTATTGCTACCATGATCACCAACCACAAATTTAAGCCAAGTAAGATGTCATTCAAGTTCTTCCCCCTTTTACTGTCTCAGCTTTCAAGCACCCTTAAAGCAGCCAGGACTGAGGCTGAGTGGTAAGACCTGGGAGAGTGGAGAGAGTAAGAGTAGGGAATGGTTCCTACCATTGGGTACAACAGAAATGAGGCTGACTACTGTTTGAGAAGAAAAATCTAATGACCTAAAAGGGTGGGCACAGCCTTCCAAAGTGCCTAATGTTCCTAAGGTATAGTGATCTGGGAGACTCTGGCTGGGGAGAACTCAAAGGCTACATGTGATCCTGAAACTGCACTGCACAGGGTTAACAAAGGCAGGTCTCCTTATCCTCAGGCAACTTAGCATACACAAGGTAGCAGTGTGTTAGGAAACATATTTTTCTGATGACACTATCACTGGTTTTGTTCCACAATGGATTCTTCCCAGTGCAATGGGTGCACTGAGGCTAGGGAAACAGAAGTTGCCAACCTCCTATGCAAAAGTGTGGCTGGATAATGTGGGGGGTGGGCAAGATGAAGCAAGAAAAGGTGCACATTCTCAAGGAACTAAAACAATGGAAAAGAGAAATGCAAGAAAGTAGCCAGAGAGTGATGTGGGAAAGCTGGCAAGAAATGGGAAAAGGGGGTACAATGATTAGATTTGTCCTAAAGTAATAAAATGTGAAGCTTTGGCTCACAAAGATTTTAATGCCCATATATTTTAAAGAAACATGCCTGATCCTGTCTGCACCACGTGAAAGAAAGCCAAGGCTGTCCTAGAACGGCCTTGTGAATACAAATCAGACAAACTAGGAACTCTACAATTTAGTGGGATGCCATTTTAATATTTGAAAGCAGTGTGACATTCAGCCAATAGGCACTGGTGCAATCATAGTGTTTGTTCATAGCAGGTACCTGTTCCAAGTGGTTGGTGTCTGTCCTGTACCAGTTGTTAAATATCTTGAAAATTGTCTCTGCATTAAAATAACTGTGGTCTTAAGAGATAGGGAAATATGGGGAAAATGCAGGGTTCCTTTGACATCAATCAAAGGTCATTACAATAAGACTAGAATACCTTAATATATTTTAAGAGTCTAAAGAATGCAACACTCAACAAAGTGATGCAGCCAACTCTTCACCTATAAAAGGACAGCACACTAGGGGATCTTCCCACTGTACAAAGATTTTCCAGGATGGAAAATTGAGAGTCTTGGGTTTTCTGGGTGCTAATGGGCTGGCTGGTCACATTCTGTGCACAAAGGCAGGGAAGGTCTATATGCATGGGCACTTAGACCCTTGACATTCATTGCAACAAAGAAGAGAAAAAATGCAAAAGTAGTTTAAACTACATTCTAAAACTAACTTCACTTACAGTTCATTTCCCAGTGTAGCTTTTTATGTCTGAGAGTCATAACTTTTTGTCAACTGAAAGACACCCATGGATGAAATAACCACGTGGCTGAAGGTGAATTTGGTCCATTGAGCTGATGATGGTTCACTACTAAGGCAGCTAAGAAGACAGTACAAAAGCACTTGGATCTCTCCAGGATGGAATCAGAATGTATCCTCAAGAGATGTCAAATAGTATCACAAAATGGCCAATAAAAACATCATACCTCCTTTTCTACTCACAAACAACTGTTATCAAATCTTTCCTAGATATCTGGAAGGGAGACACTGACCAATCTTCAGAATTGGAAGTCCTTCCTGGCATCTACACTAATTTCTTTCATAGCAATTCAACTCATTCTCTTACTCTATCCTCAATGAAAACCAAGAGAAGATTCTCATTCTTACTTGTCATTACTGATTTTCCACTAAACCTTTACCTAAATAAGCTAAGCAACTCTAATATACCCCTTGGCTTTTGTATCTTCCAAGGGTCTCACTGAGTTGATCCCCCCCAGGACAGAAATGTCTTCCTGACTGAAGTGGTGAGTACTGCCAATATCTAGGGCGTTGACCGTCCTAGTAGCAGACCTCTTGACTGGGTCTGACCAGCATCCCCCCCACCTAGGGTACGCAATCAAACTAAGGCCCAGGGCTTCCTAGGAGCCTGCAGATACCAACATGACTAAGGAAGTTTCCCCTTTCTCTCTGTTCTCCTGCTACTCCCCCACCTCATCCTTTAGGAAGAGGGACCTCAATGCACGACTCCTCAATGGCAGAATGGATCCACGTGGCTCAGCAGGCCAGCAGAGAGTTTCAGAGAAAATGTCTGAAAAATGAGAAGCTGGGTCTTTAATGGTGGCAGTTCTGAAGAGAAAGAAGAAAGAGGACTACCAATAGGAGGTGGCCTTCTGCTTCCACGTTCACATCTGGTGACTGGCTGCTGGTATGGGGATGGCTGGATGGCCTCCAATGCACACCAAGAATAACTGAATGCTTCGGCATGGCTTTGAGATGACCAAGGATAGGGCCAGACTTGGTCTTGCTTCTTCTCTGAGGGACTCACCATTTTCTCTGTAACCAGAACTTCCCTGAGGCACCTCATGGCCCAAATCTTCTATCCCAGCAAAGACTCTTAGTTGAAGAGACTGAATAAAAGTGTTACAATGAGACAAAAAGGGAACACATGATTCATTCCTGCTTTTAACACAATACTTTGAAGATGTCACCACAATTTGGATCTGGCTATATTTTAAGTTCATTTACAAGTAGACTAGTTCTCAACTAAAAATAACTGTGTGCGTTATACAGTTCGACAGCTGCCTGGATTTTCCTCTGAAGGAAATAAGATTCTATATTTCACTCACATTCAGCACAGATTTATTTTAACCCATTCGAAGATGAAAAAACCCACCACTACCACCCACTGGTGGCTGTGACTTTTCAAAGCACTTCAGTTTCTCCTCAGAGCAAACTTATCATTATGTCCATTTTCCTGCTAAGTAAACTGAGTACCAGAAACAGGGGTGGGCCAAATTGCACAGCAGGGTTAAGAGCAGGACCAGGTTTCCTAGGCTTTTTTTTTTTAAACTAGAAAAGGTATCTTTAATAAGGACTTAGATTTTGCCCTTCAGTTATCTATATAAACTTAAATGGTGTTTGGACTAAATTATTTAAGCAATTTGGATGTGCAGCCTACCTCATTGTAGGCAAAGATGTCTTAAGTCCTTTCATTTTCTTCATTAACCTGATTAAAACTGAACTATGGTATTAGCAAATGATATACAGAACATACTAAAGTATGTAAAATAAGAAAACAGTTATAATTTAACATTTCAAAATCTGTTCATGGCAATAATTCTCATTATGGAACAAGTTAAATAGGTTCAAGTCTGTTATAAATACTATTTGTTTGTATAAACAGTATTAATATAGACCTGTAGCAATTTTCCAGTTTGTGTGGTTAGGTAACAGGAGAGATATCCTTTAGAATTTGAAATGAGAACTAAGAAGAGGATTAAGTTACAAAACAGATAAAGCAAATTTACATCTTAAATAATTTAATCCTGACTGAGCCTATATAAGTGGACAGATCATTACAGCCTCTCTTCAAATATTTAGAAACCATTTTTACTTAATTTTTTCTTATGCTTAAATCTATTCTTGTAGAGTTAGCAGCAGTCCTAGACATGCTATTTATTAGACAAATTCAATCTTACAACTATATATATTTTACCTTTAGCATTATTACCATTTCCAAGAGCCAAAAATAAATAAAAACCTTAATTATAGATCTCTTTACCTTTTTTCCTTTGTGGTTCCAGAATTCATACTGAGAGCTTTCCAGACCGTGGTTTTAGGCATTTCATCAGATATATTAATCTCAGAGGGGTCACATCTGAAATCAATGCTTGGTACAGTGAATGTAAACATATGGATAAAAACATATCTTACTTTATAATGATCGCCACTCCACTAGAAGTGAAAAGACTGGAAGACTAGCTAACAGTTCTCAGTAGCCCTGGGAATGCAGACGGAGTCTGGTCATTCCTTCTGCAGCCATTGAGGTCAGAACAGAAAAAGGTAGGCTGCCTATGAGATGATTCTGCAGGCTGAGCTTTTGTCCCAAGTGATGGCTAGTCCTCTGAAAGACCTCACTGGAAATGCTGACCATGTTATGATGCCAAGAGCACAGAATCAGGAACTACTATTTGCTTGCTGGGTTCCAGGCACTCTTCATTCATTTTCTTATTTACATGGCTAAATCTTGTCCATTGATAGTTAACAAAGAACTTTCTCACCATATTAACTATCATAGCAACAGAGATTAATAACATTCTCATTTGAAGGTGCAGAGACCAAAGATCATAGGGCTAAGTGCTTGTCCACTTATGACAATAAGTGGAATCAAGACTCTAAATAAACTCAGTCTTTGGTCCTCTGGAGCCCAAGAGTACTCTAAAGTCTTCTATACACCAGGAGGTCTCTTAAAATGCCAAGAGTGAAGAGAGCATCCCACTTGAGAAGAAACAGAGAATTCAAAGTCTACAGCTTCTTCTATAATAACTTATAGAAAGTTTATTAGGAACCAAAGACTTTCCTAATTTACCTCACAGTGTAAACCACAACGAACCCAATGATACAGCAGTCAATTTCCCCAGATCCAGATGCCCCAGATGCCCTTTCTTTCTTTCTTCTCTGTCCCTCTCGACCTCTAAGCTCCTTCACGCTGTGTGTGCCTCTTTCAAAACAGAAACAAGATGACGGGAGCAAAACCACACATGGACCAATTTAGCTTCTTGTAATTTGTGGAGACCAATAGGTTTGGTAGAGAAAGGAATAAAATCAGTGGCAGAACTAAGGCATTTTTAAGATCCCAGCTTGTTCCCCCTGGGTCCCTGAACTACAGATGCCATGAGCCAGGTTGGAATGGACTATTCTAACCCAAAGGCAGGCCTAAGTGTAGGAAAGTCATGCACACCAGGCTGAGAACTCTCTAGAAATAAAAAAAATCACATCCTATTCATCTTTGGAAGGTAACAAAGAAAAGCATAAGGAGTACTGATTTGAGGAATAGACAGACCAGGTTTGAATATTGATCTTTCTACTCAGTAGCACTGTAACTTTGGGCAAATTACCTAAACTCCTATAATCCTCAGTTTTCTCACAAGTACAGAAGTAGATAAATGAGACCTTCTCAGAGAATGGTTGTAAAGACTAACAGAGAACATATAAGGAAACCTTCCTGCACAGTTATATTATGGAGGAAGGCACTAGGGACACTGCCCGCCTCTTCACCTAGTACAGTGCTCGGCACAGAGTATGCATTCAGTCCACAAAGAAAAGGAAAAGGTATTTTCATAGGATGAACCTGGGAGATTGGATGTTTAGCTCTATATAGCAGCAGCTGCATTTTGATAACACCCTACTACGAAGTCAGAATGTTTACAGAATATCCCAAATAGTAAACTCCTTTGTGTTTGGGGAGCTTTACCTGAAACTGTTGTTCTTTGCAGGACTACTTAGTAACTTCCTGCTTTCAAGAGGGAACTTGTCTCCCCCAATTTCTAACATTTTCTCAGCCTCCTGGGGAAAAAAAAAGAGATATTATTATATCTTCGACAAAGTAAGATCATGAATTTTTTCACCACTCATTCTTTTACTATCATAATTTTTATTTTTCTCTCACATTCATTATAAAAATATAATTAGGTCGTTTATAGGTTTGAGTCACTGCAAAAAGAGACAATCTGATATTATTACACATGGAATAGTATTGGGAAAAAACAAAACAAAATATCTGAATCTGAGTAAGCTTCTAGATTCAATGACCAATTTGACTGTAAACACCATGGATATAAGATGATGTTAAATGACACCAAAGAAGACATTTGGCAAAATCTGCATCATGGGAAAGCTTATACTGACCCAGTTTGCCAATAAAAAGAAAAAAACTGGAAAGGAAACCCCTAAAAAAATTTAAGAAATATAGCAATCTTCTTTAGATCCTGATTCAAATAAACATTGTTAAAAATAATAAGGTAATTGGGAAAATATGAATATTGACTTTTCTTTCTAATGTTTAAAATCTCCCATAATAAAGTGTTTTCTTTAATTTAGCCAGGTGCAGTGACACCTGCCTGTAATCCCAGCTATGGGGGGGCTAAGGTAGGAGGTTCCCAAGTTTGAGGCTAGCCTTAGGCTAGACTCTAAATTTTCTTTCTTGTAGACATAATTAAAATCTTTTGTCGACATTGCCTACATATCCTTAAGGATAAATTTTAAAATTAGGATTTACTGGGCTAAAAAGCATATACTTTTTCACTTTTTTTTGGATATAGGGTCTCAAATAGGCTGGTCTCAAATTCCTGGGCTCTGGGCTGAAGCAATCTTCCCAATTCAGTCTCCAAGTGCTGGGACTACAGGTATACTATGTAATGTTTTGAACAACCAACAATAAAAATTAAAGGAAAAAAAATTTTGTTTATACAATTTTGGACCTGAAAGCTTCACATTTAAGGTAGTAAATTCTGTCAATATTGCATTTAAAGTTTTCTTCCATTGCTTTTGTTTTTAAAATTTCTAAAGCTTATTTAATTATACAAGGTCTTAAAAATTCAAGATATTAGAAAAAATGCATGTTGAAATGTATTTAAAGAATACTATCTGGGGCCCTAACTGTATTTGGAATCACTTCCAAGTACATTCATCTCTTGGTCTGGTATTTTCATTTTGCTGTATGTACATCCTTTCTTTGCACGTGTAAGCCAATTATTGAAGTTTCACTGTATAGAAGACAAGATGCTAAATGCTAAGGGAAATGAAGGACACAAAGTCCTATGCAAGTTATCTTTGCATTGTGCCAACCATAATACTGTCAGCAATGGGGTACATAACAAATACTCTCTGAAAATATACTTGTTAATTAGGTCTTTGGGAAGAACATGAGCCATCAGATCTGATAATAACAGATTCTATGTTCATATTCTAGATGGTAGCCTGGTGGGTAGACTCTAGAAAACAAAGGGAAAAACTATTGATTATTAAATCCAAAAATGAAGGGCAGACAAGAACATGAATCCTGAATCCACTCTCAGCTGAGAACATTATGGGGTAATCTTCCCAGCTCCTAAATATAACCCCTGGGATTCCAGACATGCTGACTTTTCATGTGCCCTTTCCTATGTTCTGTAACTTGAGGCCCCAAAGCTGGTACAAGGACTGTGACCTCTTCCTCCTTGGCCTTCTTTTTGGCATCATCCAACTTCTTCTTTTTGCTTTCAGGCATGAGATCATCTAACCAGCTCAGCTCTCGCTTAGAGAAGCAGAGATCCATGACTTTCCTGACAAAGACCAAGGCCAAAACCTGAAGAAAAATAAAGGAAGTGAGTTAAAGGGGCCAATTTTCTTCCTGGAATGAAAAGTAAAGTCTCATTTTCATAGCCAATTATAAGAACATTTCAAGAAAAATCCAATTTTTAATAATCACAATAGTTGCCATATTTTGAATGTGTTCTTTGTACCAGGTACTGGAATATTTTAACCATCACTACAACAACCCCACAAATTACAGAGAAACTAATTTAATTTCCTCACTGAAAAAACAAACCTATCATCTGCAGATGGCCCTGACAACTGCCTTCCCCTAGTTTGCAGTCATCAGGAAGGGCTACAGGGCAGCATGGGAGTGGAGAACCTCTGCAGGGCTGGGTCAAAGTAAGCCAGCTGTACTCAGAATAAGCCTGCCTCATCAGGGATGATGGGACCTTGGAAGACCATCTTTATTCCCTCTGATCCTTTGAACATTTCTATCCAAAATCCTTGCTCCGCCTGCATTGTGCATCTGTAGGGTTTTTATCTCTGCCCTTTGGCCTAGGCTGATGTTCACTTTATAGGTGAGGAAACTGAAGCCCAGAAAGAGGAAGTGTCTTGGCTAGAATCTGGCAGCTAATCTCTCCAACAGAGGCAAGTCCAGGCTATCTCAACTACTGCTCCACTTTCTTTTCAAGAAGGCCACATAACCCATAAGGACGTACCTGGGTCCCTTGGGTTTTCATCGATTATATCTCTTGGTTGGGTGAGGAATGAGGCAAATTTGGCTCATTAAATTCTATCATATTTCTAATTTTATTTATTTATTTTTTAAATTATTTATTTTTTAGTTGTAGGTGAACACACAATAACTTTATTTCATTTTTATGTGGTGCTGAGGATCAAACCCAGTGCCTCACACATACTAGGCTAGCACTGTGCCACTGAGCTCCAACCCCAGCCCCATATTTCTAATTTTAATGACTACATTTTAAATAAATTTAAAATTGATAGGATTCCTTCCAGATGATCCCAGGAATTTGATATGTTTTTAACTAAACACTTAATCCCTGAACATAATACAAAAATGCAGAGCTCTACATGTATTCTGACAAAACTGAAAAAAGAAAGAAACCAGGAGGATATTAATCTAGAAGTTTAGATAAAAAAAATTAAAAATGGAATTACCATATGGTTCAGCAATTCTATTCCTAGCTGTATTCCCCCCCAAAAACTGAAAGCAGTTACACAAACAGATATTTGTATACCCAAGTTTGCAGCAACATTATTCACAATAGCAATATTCAAAAGGTGGAAGCAACCAAGGTGCCCACTGACAAATGAATAGAAAAACAAAATGTGATTTAGCTGATTTAGGTATACAATGGAATATTATCCAACCTTAGAAAGAAAGGAAATTGTGACACATGTTATAACATGGATGAACCCTGAAGATATTAAGTGAAATAGGCCAGTCACAAAAGAAAAAATACTATATATGAGTCCACTTACATGAAATACCTAGAATAATAAAATTCATAAAGACAGAAAGTAGAATTGTGTTTTCCCAGGGGTTGGTAGGAAGGAGATAATGGGAGGCAGGATTGAGTGGGTGTGGAGTTTCAGTTTTACAAGATGAAAAAAGTTCTGGAGATGCATGGTGATATAACAATGTAAATGTACTTAATGCAACTGAACTGCATACTTAGAAAGAGTTAAAATGCAGAATTTTATGTTATAGGTACTTTACCACAACTTTAACAATAACAGTAATAATATATATTCCAGAAAATCTCACCATCATTGGGAAAACAATGGCAGCTGGTGATGCCTTGATGACCCAGAGCAGGACGAGGCAGGTCAGCTGGATGAGGGTGAAGAGGTGCACTTTGCGCAGTGGCACATGACGCAGGTAAATAAAATCTGGCTGGTGCTTTGCCGGCATCCCAAAGAGCTTCAGACGATCAAAGAACTGAAAGGAGGGAACTGGCATTTATTTTCAGGAGGCTTCGCTGGGTCAGAAGCCGTGTTAGACCCATTCATGTCTCTTACATCTCCTGCTCTGAAAAGTAAGTAACACCTTCTCCACAAGACAGTTAAAATGCAGAATTTTATATTACAGGTACTTTTACAGAAAGGGAAACTTAAACCTCAAGAGAACAGGAAATATGGTCAAAACTGGGAAATGTCAGTTGAGTTTTGGCTCAATCTTTTCTAATTCTAGGTTCAAGCTTTTTTTCTCCTATCCCACACTGAGGCTCCTAAGAGAGTTATTTCTCAGGGAAAGTGGAAAATAAGTGAATTGCATCTTTTGGCTTACTATTAAACCAAATCTCTTACTTGTTCTTTGTGAAGTTAGGAGCTATTTGTTGATTATTTAAAATGAAACCTCATTAACATTCTGGATATAGAAAATATGATCATTCTTACAGTATAAAAAAGGAAAACACAGACCCAGAGATTAAGCAACCTGCCCAAAGTCACATTAGAACTCAGTATGTAAGAATGACCACAAGACATTCCATACAAGAAGAATTGGCCACCCAGAGAAAAAGTTGAGTTATTACATCAAGTTATTGATGATGGCTCTCAATTGTCTCTGTTTGAAAGTCTTGGAGGAATGAGCTGATAGATGGGAGAAGATACAGTATAACAGAAAGTGCATTTGCTTATCTGGGACAACTCCTATTACTTCTCAAAGTTGAACTTTCTTCTTAACCTAATACTAAATTTCAAGCTGTACAGGTGTGGAAAGCAGTCTGGTTCTTGATCAACATTTCAGATCTTGGTTTACCAGCATTTGGCAAAGTACTTTGTGTTTAATATGTGCTAAATTTTGAATAATCAGTGAATGAATGACTGGAACCATGATATTAAACCAGGAAGTCTGTGTACTTTTGTGCCTATATGACTGTACATCTGAACAAATTTCTGAAACAGCTCAACCAGAAAAACTAGGAAATAATTTCTCAAGAATTATGCTTCCCTTTGGGAGCTGCCCCTCCCTGGTGATGACAGGTGAACTCAGTGAGAGGACACTGGCCTGGCTGAACTATACAATACCTGAATTCCTTGTAGCGAAGAAACTCCCATGTAGAGAAAAACTCCATAGAGTACAGGCATTGGAATAAACTGCAGACAAAAGGGCAGAAAGGCCAGAATTAAGTTTGGTATCATAGCATGTTCAAGGATATGTAACTTTTAAATCTCCAAGAACAAAACAAAATCACAAAATGCCTTCATAAACATTGTGTTAGTTTCTGTTGTGTTTACATAATTTAGAAGTAGAAGCAAAAGCATTTGGTGTACTCTGACATAGACTAAAAAAGTTTATCTTTTACTGAACAGAGATTTGAGGGCATGAATGGGGAGATATCTTATTAGAAAGAATGATTTGGGGAAACATATTAATGTTTTTATTTTGTTCTTGAATATCCACATGGTACTTGAATATGAATTTCCCATCACATCATATCTATCAACCTAGATAATCTTCTGAGAAACTCTGGGACAAGAGAATGGGACTTATAGAATCAAGGTAAGAAAACTTTCATCTCTGAAGACTAAATTTGTTATTATTTTGGGAGCATTCCAAAAACATTCCAAAGAACAATCTCAAATGTAATTCTTCAGTATTAGAAAATCCACATTGGGTTTTACATTGTTCCCCTTTTATAGACAACCCAATTCAGCGATGACCTTGTTTGTAGAGCTATTTGATAGGATCTTAAAAGAATTTTTCTGGTGATATCTACCATTAAGGCCTTGTGGTTATATTCTTGAGGGAACAGTAATTTTGGGGTCCCTAATAATGGCACCTAGATCAGGAGAGGAAGTGAAAAGAGCGCTATAGACAGAGAGTAGACGGATAAGGAGTATGAGGAAAAGCAGGTAGTGAAGTTGAGTGGAAAGGAAAGGGACACGAAGATGGTTTCAAAATACTTCATCATTCTCTCAATTCTCACCCTTGAAGGGCATTTGCAGGGTAGGCTGGGGTGGTTAAAAATCAAAAAGAGGGAGAACAGAATCAGGAAAGTGCTCCAGATGGATGGGACCTTGGCAACACAGCTAGATAGCTTTTTCTTTCATTCCACTTTCCCAGATGCAGTGCTTATAACCCGCCCCACTACCATAAAGTTTTTTCTCATCTTTCACCTTTATAAAAACACCCTCTTTTAGCCAGTTGCTGTTTTTCTGTTCTACTTCACAAACAACCTCTTGAAAGAGTTGTCTGCATCCATACACTACTTCCTTCATCTCTTATTCACTCTTCAGACACTTGCAATTAGGCTTCTGCCTTATCATTCCACGAAGTTTGCTCTCTGATAAGATACCTCCCCCAACTTTTGCCCACAAGTTTCTGGCCAGTAAAAGAAAAAAAATTTTTTTTTTTAAATCCATGTTAAAATACATCAAATCTCTGAGGAGATGATTTTGATTACAGAAGATTTAAAAATCATTAATTCCGTAGAAGAGGTGTGTGTGTGTGTGTGTCCCCACCTATCTATCCTCAGGGAAAAGGAAGAGCCAGACAGGGTTGAGATGTGAGGCCTATGATTTAACCTACAGGTGATCATTCCATTTTATAACAAAAAGACTTTTACCATAGTCAGCTTCTGCTTTTGCTTCTACTTCTAAATTATGTAAAAGTAGAAGAAACTAATCTACTGAATCTGCTCTTGTCTAGTCATGTTAAGTCACCATATTGTTAAATCCAATGGCTTTGGTGTAGTCTTCATCTTTCCAGACAGCTTCTAACCAATCCTTCCTTGAAACACTTTCCCAGCTTGGCTCCTGACATCACACCTTCCTGTTTTCCTTCCTACGTCTCTGGCAGCTCCTTCTGAGACTATGCTATCTCTTTCTCAGCCCATCCTCTAAACTCTGCTCTTCTGTCTAACCTCTCTTCTCTTTTATATACACCCATCTCCCAAGTGAGCTCATCTACCTCTTTGGTTCAATGCTACCCAGGTGCTACTGGCTCCCAAGTTTGTATTACTGACCCAAAATCCTCCTCTATTCTCTTCACTTAGATAATTCCTGATTTCTTACTCAAGTGCTGATCATAGCCTCACTCCTCACAAAATCAAAATGCTATCTTCTCCATCATAATAAATGTCATCTTTCCACTAGATGGCTAAGTCAAAAACCTAATAGTCATCTTTGATTTTCCCATTTTCCTCACCCCATTCCATAACTAGTTAATCAGCAAGACCTTTGGATCTGCATCTAAGATGTGCAGAGCCTTGCCTTTTTTCTTATCCCTACTACCAACTTTCTTATCAAAAATCAATTTCTTCCCTCACCTGTATTATTCTCACTTGTCTCTCTGCTTCTCTTCTTCCCCTACCCTAAAAACTTGTCTTCTAGACATCAGCCAGAATGATCTTTTAAAAATATTAACTGAGTCATGTCTATCTCCTGTTAAAAGCCCTCAAAGGTAATCTTTACTAGTATGTACAAGGCCCTCTGTGATCTGGCTCTGTCTACTCTTCCATCTTATCCCACTGAGCTCTTGCTGTAACTCAGTACCCTTAAGCCACATGACCCTGATATTTTCCACAACACATATTACTCTTTTCTTTCTCAGGACCTAACTTGATTGCTTTTCTCCCCTCCCTCCATGCTATCTTCCACCACCCATGGCAAGGCTAGCTCCATTTTATTTTTAAATATTACCTTCTCAGGGGTTGGAGTTGTAGCTCAGTGGTAGAGTGCTTGATTAGCAAGTGTGAGGCACTGGGTTCAAGCCTCAGCACCACATAAAAATAATAAATAAATAAAATAAAGTTTTTTTTTTTAAATTACCTTCTCAGAGAGGCTGTCTTTGACTATCCTAACTAACAGAGAACCCTTTAATTCCCTATAGCATCAAAGAACTCTCTATTTTCCTTATATCACTTATTAAATTCTATAATTATCATGTTTATTTTCTTAATTACACATTATCTTACTCAGGTAGAATAAGCTTTTCCGGGGCAGCAGTAGTTTGTATGTGTATCTGTTTGGTGTGCTACTGTATTCCCAGAACCTAGCAGGATTCCTGGCACAAAGGCACTATGTATATGCCTAACAAGTGAGTAAATGATTACCTTTAAGACAGTGGTCATGAAGACGGAGCAGCCCATCAGCACAAAGATCATAAGGCCTGTCACTCTCTGCTCTCGGATGCCCAAGAACTTCGGCTGTTCTCCCGGAGCAGAGCACTCAGATTCCAGCTTGAGGCTGTTCACATGTGTGATGGACAGGACAGTTGCAGCCACAAACCAGGGTAGGCCCATGATGGAGCAGACACCCAGCATTATGGCCACCATCAGCAGATCCAGGTGGTAGCCACAGCCTTTCTGTGGAGAAACAGAATATCTATCACCATCAGTGAGCTGGCTATAGTGGGGCATATAACAGTGAGCTAAGAGTCTCATGCCTAAGGCAGGAAGGGGTATATGGGTAAGAAGGAAGGAATCCAAGGATCCCAGAGGAGTTTTACAATCTTCCTAGTTAGGAGGGAACAGAGAAGGGAAATATTAGCCTATCCTATATGTCAATACCCATTCTTTATCTAAGTAACCTCAGCTTCCTCTGAGTCCCACACATTCAAAAATCCATCCTTCTCTGGAAAAGTAACTAGAGACCAAGCTGCATCTTGACCATTCTAGTAGACACTATAGAAGTTGGAGATAAATGTTAATTCCTACAACACACTTCCAGATCCTCACCAGATTTGGATGTTGCCTGTTCTGAGTAAGGAAAGCATAGAGATGGAAGGTATGAAACATCCCACTAATACATGTACTAGAACTGATCCATGTACTAGAACTGAATAAACCTTGGGCTCAGGTTTAATCTGGAAACCCTAGTAACAGTCAGCAATGAGAGAATAACTGCCTCTAGGACATTGCGGTCTAAGATCCAGCCTGAACCTGAGGAAGACAAGCTGAATGGTAGCCAACTCAAAACAAATAGTTGAATAGGGACCACCAGGAACTCTGCCTCCCACAAACTCACAGGTTTGAGAGAAGAGAAATGGAATCCAAGTTTCTTTCACATTATACCACAACGTTTCACTTTAGTCTCATCTCCAACTAACAAGTAGAGAATGAATACTCCTTATAGGCTCCTTCTGTGTCTTTTATCCAGGTTATTCAGTTCCTGGTATGGAAGGGCTTACCCTAAAATAAAAATCATAGCAAGCCACCAAGAAGTCTTCTAGGTCAAAATTTCTTGTTACCTTGAGCTTATGTTCCTTCCTGTTAATGATGACAGCTGTGATCTGCTGATCCATGAATATCAAGATAGTGCAGAGAAGAGCTGGGATAATTGCAGCTATCACAGTCCACCAGGGATTAGGGCCAATGGGACTGATAAACCATCCTCTATCATCCCTTGTAGGCTAAGGGGAAAAAACAAGACATTATTTTTTTAAATTAACTATTAAGTTAACTATTGTCATTACAGCACAAGAGATCAAACTGAACCACAGTTCCACATTTCCTTGGAAATCCATAACCTTTCTCCAAATCCCCTTTGAAATAGTCCTCCATTATCAGCCTCCTGTGGAATATTCACTAGTCCTATTCTTCCTCCTATTTACTCCCTAAGCTCCAGTGTATAGAAAAAGCAACTTTATCTCAACATCAGCACAAGTAAAATATAGTTAACAGCTAAATCTGTTGTTGGAGGAAAAAAAATGACTCTCAAAGACAAATATAAATATCTTAGACTATCTTCATCACTGCTTTTCCTCAGAAGCCATATAATGTGTGTCTATAGCATAAATAAAAGCAAAATATAGTCAGTTACATGAATCTCTTGAGTTTAGATTGGAAGTTCCAATGTCCTTCTCCCATCAGCAGAGGAATGGGGGCTTAGGCACCAGAGATTTGACACAAGGCTTAAGACTGCTAAACTTGGCAACTTTTTGACCTAGGACCCTTTCCAATGCCCCTATAAGACAACTGTTCACAAATTTTATTGAGGTGTTCATGACATACCTAAACTTTCCTAGGTCCTCAACCCCCACCCCTAGGGTACTCTGGGGAAGACAAGTTCATCTTTTTGGCAAGTGGTGCTGGAGGATAAAAGGCCAGGGATTCAAATTGTCCCAGAATTGACCCAAACTCAATAAACAAAGACTATTCTATCTGAAACATTAGTTGTGATTCTTGGATTAAAAAAAACTTCAATAACATTAGCAAGTCCCAAATTATGAATTAGATTCTAAAAGCTTACAGAACCTGTTTCCTTAGTAATAGTGTTCTAACTGGAATTAAGTTTTCAGACCAACACAAAAACCTATCAAAACCTTAATGACATTATAACCCCTAGTAATAGCATAGCTGGCTCTCCTTATCTGTGGGTTTTACATCTTCAGATTCCACCAACCACAGATTGAAGATATTCAAAGAAAAATACTTTTATGTTAACACATACAGACTTTTAAAATTGTCATTATTCCCTAAACACTACAGTATAACAACCACTTACATAGTATTTACATTATATTAGGTATTACAAGTAACCTACAGATGACTAAAAGTATATAGAGGATTATGAAGGTTATAGGCAAATACTACACAACTTCACTGAAGGGATCTGAGCATCTGCATCCCCAGAGTATCCAATCTCCCATGGGTAGAAAGAGACATTTGCACCTGCCTTCATATTGGGTCTTGGGACTTGGGGGTCATGTGGTTTACAAAGGAAGGGAAGAAGGAAGAATAGAAGAAAACTTTCTCTCTGCTTCCTGAAGGGGAAGCCTGCCTGCCATGAGCAACATTTTCTTGGACATTCTCCCATTTCCCTTTCTCAATTCTCTCCTACTTCGCAGAGGTTTTCTTCACAGATGTCCCAGAAATTCAGCACCTTCTGATGCTTTTAAGCCTAACCATCAGGGAATTTTTCCAAGGACTGCTTAATGCTCCCAAATTACCTATTTTTATACAAAATCCATTCCTCCTGCAGGGCTGACCTCAGCTAGGTATTAGAGAGAAAGCTGAGTGTGCTCATTCACACAAAGATGAGAATGCCAGATTCTCAGAGATGTTATGCTTAGAAAAGAAAAGGGTGTTTATTAACCCACAAATTTCTAACTGAGGACTGGGGTTGTAGCTCAATGGTGGAGTGCTTGCCTCAAATATATGGGGCCCTGGGTTCGATCCTCAGCCCCACATAAAAATAAACAAATCAAAATGAAGATATTGTGTCCATCAACAACTAAAAAAAATAATAAACAAATTTCTAACTGATAGAAGTTCAGCAAATTTAATAAAATTAAACATGTTTTGACAATAAGGAAAAAGACACTTTCAACCAGGTCTTTTTCAGGGAGAGAAACAAAGGGAAGCCCACACCAGGGTCTTTATAAGTCAGGGACTGTCTACCTTCCATTTTCTCCTCACATCCTCTCCCATCATTCTATTACTCTTCTGAAGTCACTGAGCATGCTCAGTCTTTCTCCTCTCTACCCAATGGGGATCTATGAAACTTAACTTAGCTTTTTTATCTTCTTTGTCTATTTAGTAACCCGAACCTGAAAGACTTTGTATTGATCATTTGTTTCATTTATTGTGTAGGCTTTTTGAAAAATACTATAGATTATAGAGTTATACAAACAAACAATAAAATAGTATTAAAGAACTATCCTATAAATATCCTAGGGCTCTAGAGTCCAGACAAAGTTCCTCTTATGTCCATCCTCCTCCTACCCTGTAAGATCCTTGAGGGGAGGGGCAAAGACCTTTACCTTACTCATCCTTCCCAGTGTCCTTAAACAGCTGCTGCTCAATAAAGGTACTGGTAACCAGACTTTTTCCAGGAACCCACATTTCCACAGTATTCCCAAATATATATATGTAAATGGGCACATTGCACTATTTTAAATCTTAACAATAGTATTTATGATAATAAATAATACTTTTCATTCATTAAATTTAAACAACGTTACTTTTTCTGTTCTCTCGCTTTTCCAACTTGAACTCAACCAGATCTAAAGAGTTTGCTTTTCTGAATGGCCAGGTATGAGGAATAAGGTTCAGATTTAGAGGACTACAAGACTCCTCTTATGATTGTGATGTGAAAAGGCCTTTGAAATCAACTTGGGATCAGATTCTATGAAACTACAGGAGGGCACCACACATCCTGAGACTTTTTTACCTTGAACACACTGGGAACTTGAAGCTTTGGTGATGGGACTCCAATCAAAAAATCAATAATCACCATTGTGAAGATTGTGAGGAAAACGGCAAAGTCACTCACCATGGAGCGTACCTGACATGAGAAAGGATTAGAACAATGTTTTTGCAGGTTAAATATAGTAGAAAATAATTTAGTCTTGCAAAAGGTTTAGAAATTCTCCAAAAAATTCCCTTATTTTACATTTAAAATAATACAAGCATATTTATTTATTTATTTATTTATTTATTTATTTTTTATTCAACATTACAAAGCTCTTGACATATCATATTTCATACATTAGATTGAAGTGGGTTATGAACTCCCAATTTTTACCCCAAATGCAGATTGCAGAATCACGTCGGTTACACATCCACAATTTTACATAATGCCCAATTAGTAATTGTTGTATTCTGCTACCTTTCCTATCTCCTACTATCCCCCCTCCCCTCCCCTCCCATCTTCTCTCTCTACCCCATCTACTGTAATTCATTACTCTCCTTGTTTATTTTCCCATTCCCCTCACAACCTCTTATATGTAATTTTGTATAGCAATGAGGGTCTCCCTTCATTTCCATGCAATTTCCCTTTTCTCTCCCTTTCCCTCCCATCTCATGTCTCTGTTTAATGTTAGTCTTTTCTTCCTGCTCTTCCTCCCTGCTCTGTTCATAGTTGCTCTCATTATATCAAAGAAGACATTTGGCATTTGTTTTTTAGGGATTGACTAGCTTCACTAAGCATAATCTGCTCTAGTGCCATCCATTTCCCTGCAAATTCTATGATTTTGTCATTTTTTATTGCTGCATAGTACTCCATTGTGTATAGATGCCACATTTTTTTTATCCATTCATCTATTGAAGGGCATCTGGGTTGGTTCCACAGTCTAGCTATTGTGAATTGTGCTGCTATGAACATCGATATGGCAGCATCCCTGTAGCATGCTCTTTTAAGGTCTTCAGGGAATAGTCTGAGAAGGGCAATAGCAGGGTCAAATGGTGGTTCCATTCCCAGCTTTCCCAGGAATCTCCAAACTGCTTTCCAAATTGGCCACACCAGTTTTACAAGCATATTTAAACCATAGGAATATATTAGCATTTCCTTCCCCCAATCATGAAAATCCTCTAAACTACCCACATTAATGCTGACAAAGTGTGGATATGATGAAGGAGAAAAAGTCTCTGACAAACTCTAATGTAACTCTGAAGAGTTCTTTTTAGGGTATTTAGGACCAGGTTCAGGTTCTAGTTCTAAAAACTTGGAATACAATTTTCTGAAACCAGCCACAATCCATTATGCTAGCCCAGAACCTTAGCATCAGGGTCAACTGTGCTTCTCCCTCAAACCCTACATCCAGTCCATCTCCAAGTTCATAGGCCCTACCTTCAGAACATATCCAAAATCATCACTTGTCATACCTCCACTGCTCCTGCCCAGATCAAAATTACACCAGCTCTTGCTGGGTTAATGGCAGCCATCTCCACATTTGCTTCTGCCTTTGCCCTCCACAATTTTCTTTAAATATAGCTGCTGGAGTACTAATTTAAAAATTGGATCATTATCACTCCTCTGCCAACACTATGAAATGGTTCCTTGTCTGAGTTAAAAACCCAAAAGGCCCCATTGGTTTCTGAGGACCATACAACTGGTGTCATCTGCTCTCCAGTCCCAACTCCTAATGTTCTCCAGCTTACCCGCTCTACTTCAGCCACACAGGCCTCCTTGCTGCTTCTTAAACATATCAAGCTCACTCCAACTTCAGAGTCTACCTAAAATGTTACCTACAGGTAATCTCTTGGGTAGTTCCCTCACCTCCTTTAGGCTAACTCAAATACTATCTTCTTCATGAGATCCTCATTCATCAGAAGCCACCCTTCCCTGCTTTATTATTTTCAACAACACTTATTTCCATTTTGTTGTGGATTCTCTCCAATTGAAGACCTGCCCCGAGAACTGTCTCAATTTATAGCTTAGTGTCACTTTAATAAAATGCTGTTGTCTGTCTTAATCTGCAATTCCAACAGAGACAGAACAAAATATTTCTTAGCCATGCATAACATCATTAGTAACTTAACCTGACTAGCTAGTAACTAAACCAGCACCCTCTTCATGGTTTTGTTAGTTCTTCCCTGAATGTTATATTAATTCTCTGAAGCAATCACCCCTTTCTAATTATAAAACCCTGCTTGACCATCGTAGGGCTCAGTGCCCCTTCTCTCTTCTGAACTTCTGTGGCATTTACATCTCAGGCTTACCACCAGCTCTTGCAACACTTACTACTGTAGCATATGGCACCTGCTTGTTTCATGTGCTCCCCTTCCTCTCTGATGGCAGACAGTATCTTTTAAACTTTGTTTGCACTCTCCCCGCTCCCTCCCCCCCCTGCTGGGTCTGAGCATAGTCAGTATCCAACAGTCACTTAGGTTAATGTATTTTTCCACATAGGAAACAAAGACTCAGAACTTATTTAAGACATGCCTCCCTTAACTATTATGCAGGTTCAATGAAGCCCAAGAATATTTTTTAGTTATGTATGTGTATATAATAAATATCTAATAAACTGTGCCCCCTACCCATTCATATCTCTATTCTGTGAATGTACCTGATTGAAACCTCACAGAAAAAAAAAATTTCCTCCTGAGTCTAGCTCCCTTTTAAAGAAATAGCCCACTTAGCTGCCCACACTCAGCCTCTAAGTCTGCCCTGCAGGAATACTGCTCCTGACATGCTATCTGTGTCAGAGAAAGCTGTTGAGGCTTCCATCATGCAAACCAAGACAAGAGCATGGAGGCTGCTATAGTCAATGTGGGCAATGATTTTATAAGTTATTATAGAAGCCATTTCTGGGAGGGGACTTCATAGCTAGAGTATCTAAATACTAAAGTAGCCAAGACAATCACCCCAATTACCATCATCACAAGCCAGCTCCAACTACTATATGCTAAGTCTCCTCATTTTTTAAGTATCCTCATTCAATACTACAGATCTATGAAAGCAAGATCTATGAAAGAGGCTGCCAGACACTAGAATATCTGCCGCAGTATACCTCATCGGGACATCTGGAGCTTTCCCCACTGACAATCTACTCCAGAAAGTATGGAGGCTGAGAACGGGTTCTGTTATATTAGAATCCTAACACAAAAGTAATGCATGAATATGCTACTTACTCTGGTTGGGAAATAGCGGCTTGTCTTAAATGTCTTTAATGTGCTTGAGAGGATGAAGGTGGTGAAGAAGAGAATACAGGACCAAAAGAGCACATCAGGAGTGTAGGGTCCATGATGGCCACATGCAGATCCCATGAACTCTCCATGCATTTCTTGGCATTCCTGGAAGAACAAGAAGTCTGGTGACAAAAGTAAGGCACAAGGAAATAAATAGATGCTGACTATCAGAATAGGCTGCCAGCAATATCTACTTGACCTTTTTCCATTGAGAGGCCCTCACCTGCAGGTCTTTTTCAAATGGGGCACTACTACAGTTATAACTAAGATATAGATTTTAAGAATAAAGCTATAAATGTCCTGAACAAACAGTACTTTCAAGGCTTTGGGAAGGCCTTAGCAATCTGAATTGTTTTTATTACAGAGGTCCTCCAAACTTACTATCCTACTATCCTTCAAACTCTACAAAACTTGGATCCTACCCTATGTGGTTTCATCTCCACATGTCCTTGATGCAGAATCACAGGGTAGGGTGCATATGGTAGAAAAGAGAGGGTGATCTACTTTTATGTACAAGAAAATTTTTGAAAGGGAAAAAAAGTAAGAACAATTTTTTGTTTGTTTTTTAATTAATTAATTAATTTTTTAAAAGAGCTTTCTTTCTTAAATGCTAGAATTCTCCAAAAGGCTACTGGCCTTTCACTGAGAAGTCCCTCCTAAACCTGGTAGCTATGGTGTTAGGCAGCTCCCAGACTTACACTGACAGTCAGGTTATCCCAGTGCACTTCTGCTGTCACAATGTTGTGGTCCTTCCAGTACTGCAGGGTGTGATTGTTTGGATTCTCTGGGAGAGTACACCTACAGCTGGGGGGAAAGGAAAAAAGATTCCTGAGGGAAGCAGTAAGAGAGTCAGTTAAGTATTTTTAGACATGACTGGATTAAAGGCTCTACAAAGCCTATCTTCTTTCCCTTTTGCCTACTTCAGATCTGTGAGATGGGTCTAGTTTGGGCCAAGGACCAATAAGGCCAACCAAACCCTAAGTTTTCACTGGCCATTATTAAAGATGGATTCAAATCAGCAGGTGGGTCTTGGATAAAACTGTGCTGACAACCACACTTGACATATGATTTTCCCAGAATAAATAAGCCCTGATGGTTTCCTTTCCTGCTTCTATCTCTTAGGTTCTAGCTATGAAATTCAATCTACTTGGCAAGGAGGTTCTGATACACTACTCAGTTCTCAACAATTTCCTCCAAGTCTGGATAATTTTATTCCTATACCTGCTCCTGTTCTAAAAATCAGAGATTCCTTAATTGTGATGCAAGCTCTTCTTCACACTGCATTATCATTAATAATCCTTCTACCATGGTCATTTCCTAGATACTTATGCTGAAGCCAGGCCTGGCAGCTCCAGTAGCTTCCTTAGGCCCCTTCTTTCATCCAAACCAAACTATACCATACCTGTTCCACCATGTTGCCTCCCAATCCCAGCATGCTTCTTGCCTGAACTGGCTCCCAGTATGGTCAATTGACATAGCTGTCCCCACCACCTTTGTTTCACCTGTGAATTTAATAAACATGCCTTCTATGACAGAACTAAAATTCAGAAAGATCCCAACAGGTCAAAATAATTGGAAGAAACCAACAAAACAAAAAGTAATGGGGAAAGCTATAAAAGTTCTACATTTAGGTTAAAAAATAAATTCCATAGATATGCCAATTACTCTAGTTTGATAATTACATAATATACATATGTATTGAAATGTTACACTCTATTCCATAAATATGTATAAAAATTACTATGTGTTAGTTAAAAATAAAAATAAGCTGAATTTGGTGCCATGCATCTGTAGACCCAGCTACTCAGGAGCCTGAGGCTGAAGAATCACTTAAGCCCAGGAGTTTGACGCCAGCCTAGAAAACATAACAAGACTCTGTCTCAAAAATAAATAAATTAGCTGGGTATGGTGGTGCACACCTGTAATCCCAGCAACTTGGGAGGCTAAGACTGGAGGATTGCAAGTTTGAGGCCAGCCTCACCTGGATAAGTTAGTGATAACTTATCTCAAAATAAAAATAAAAAGGATTGGCGGGGGTGGGGGGAAGGATTGGGAACATAGCTCAGTGCACAAATCCCTGGGTTCAATCCCCAGTAATACAAAATAATAATAATAATAATAATAATAATAATAATATAATATGATGGTAGAGTATCTATACATTTGTCAAAATCCATGGAATATACAACACAAAAGTTAACTCTAATGTAAATTGTCAACTTTGGGTGATACTGAAGTATCAGTATAAATTCATTGATTATAACAAATGCACTTTTCTGGTGGAGATGTTGAGAATGGGGGAGGGTATGCATACACAGCAGCAGGTGGGCAGGGAGTCTAGGAGAACTCTTGTACTTTCTGCTCAACTTTGCTGTCAACCTAAAACTATTCTAAAAAATAAAGTCTTTTTTACCCCTAAGACTGATGATTGAACCCAGAAACACTTTACCACTTAAGCTACACCCCCAGCATTTTTTATTTTTTATACTGAGACAGGGTATTGCTAAGTTACCCAGGCTGGCCTTGAACTTGCTATCTTCCTGCAATCTTCTTGCCTCAGCCTTCCAAGTATCTAGGTTTACAGATGTGAGCCACCACACCCAGCAATAAAGTATTTTTAAAAAATAAATTTTGTGGACATTAACATAAAATCATTTAAAGAGTGGAGGTTTCTAATTTCACATCAATTCCATATGAAACAAAAGTCAAATGCAACTAAGAAAAAAATACCATCTTCAGTTTTTAAAAAAATATTTATTTAGTTATAACACATAGTATATTAATTTATTTTTATGTGGTGCTGAGGATTGAACCCAGTGCCTTATACATGTAAGGTAAGCACTTTACCACTGAGCTACAGAGCCTCAGCCCCCCATCTTCAGTTTTATTAACAAAAAAGATTACAGCTTCGAGATACGAAGTCTAAACTTAATCCAGGGCTGGTCACTTTTGTCTATCTTCTCCCACTACAATATAAGCATCCTTAGTTGCCTAGTTGAATTGCTCATTGCCCCAAGAATGGAAAATGGATATATTGATGTCATTTGAAAATAAGATTTTAAGTAACTGTATGACAACTTGTAGTGTGAATAGCACCATTGTGCCTTTTATGTATTTTTGAATACTGAATTGAGTCTTTGAAGAACAAGAACTTAATTAAGGAATCATATGTAAATGTATTTGGATACCTGAATTATTAAAGTAGGATCTGTTTGACTGTCGGGTTTACTACTGTTTCCAAGGCCTAACACAGTGCCAGGTGCATAACAGGTGTTTGACAAACATTTTTTAAATAAATGAATGATTAAAAAGAGGTCAAAAAATTAACTTTACAAAAGTAAGAACTTCAATGACAATAGATCCCAATTCATTAGGCTTTGGAGATGATAGTCCTTAATCATTGTTATTAAAATACTTTATTTTAGGGGCTGGGGATGTGGCTCAAGTGGTAGTGCACTCGCCTGGTGTGTGTGAGGCACTGGGTTCAATTCTCGGCACCACATAAAAATAAAATAAAGATATTGTGTCCACCTAAAATTGAAAAATAAATATTAAAAAAATATATATATACTTTATTTTGTATTAAAATACTTTAAAATTTTTTAATAAAAGTTAATGAATGGATAACTAGAATAGATGAAAGTATATTTGTGGCTGGTTGGCAGATGCTTCCAATCAGATTCTCCACATGAGAACTATATAGTCAGAAAGGAGGGAATAATGTAAAGAGCCAGAGGAAGAGGATCTTTAATCATAATTTGGAAAATACTATTCCAGAGAAGAAATGATTTGTAGGACTAGATTTTCCTAGATGGTTGATAATACAGCTAGATATGTTGTTTATTTTCTAATTGATCCAAACAATGTCAAACACATGAAGAAAACACTCTCTTGAGTTGAAATCTAGAAGTAAAGAAAGAGGTTTCTAGATCTTTATGACACAGTGGGAGTGACTCGTGATCTGAAAGGAATTATTAAACCATCTCTACCTAACGTTTCCTACACGTTGCCTATACACCTTCAGAGAAAGAGTCCATTCTCTCACTTGATGGTGTGGTCCGGGGGCTCACAAGTCCTTACAAAAAGAAGTTCTTTTCAATAACTAACTCAAATTTTCTCTGCTACATTTGCAGCCTATTTTTGTTTCAATGCCTAGACCCAAAAGACATTCTCTAGAAAGAACTTCTCAAGTCTGCTCTGGGCTTCATTCTCAGTCCATCCTCTGTCATCACTTTTGATTGTTCTTCTCTGGCAGTCCTCCAAGCTTCCTCATACATATCTAAGTTCTGTTTCCCAGAAGGCCAGGACGCTTCCTCAACAGAAGCTACAAGCGCTGCCTGGCACACTACACAAGCTATTAAACTTGGGCCCCTTTGTCCATTAAAAGAAGAAGAAGAAGAAAATAAGACAAGCAGAAAGCATACTTACTAATAGAGGCTAAGGTGGTCCAGCTGGCTGTGCATGTGGATAGGGTAGGTCTCTGCCAGGTGAATCAGCTTTTCTATAGCTTCATAGATGAAAATAATGCAAATCAGGGAGGCAAATGCTTCTTCAGTGAAGCGGGTAATGTAGCAAACAAGAGAACTGGCATCAGTTGCCACAAGGACAATACACAGGAAGGCGGTCCACAGTCCGATACAAGCTCGAAGGGAGAGGTATGAAAGGGTGTAGTCTCTGAAACAAGACCAAAGTTCATCAAAAAGCATGAATGGCATGAAGACCCAAAAGGGTCAAATATGATTAATTCATCTCATGTCAGCTACACCACCATTGCAACCCAGCTGATACCTAATTCTGACTGAACTTCAGTTCTAAATAGTGCCCTGGGACAGGTATGTTACAGATTTGCTTCCCAATGCTATTTGCCTGTGAAGCTATATAGAAAGTAGAAAAGGAAGGAATCCTTTTGAACACATTTTTGCCACTAAAATTCAATGTAATTAAGAGATTGTTCATGCAATAAGAAAAAGGAGCTGGTTCTAGTCCCATATTCTCCTAATTCTAGTACAAAATGGGAAAAAAAAGACTTTATAGAAAAAATAGGAAATCTAAGACATTGCAGAGCCCCTACTACCACCAGCTACCAGAACATTAAGGAGGGATAGCAGGAAAAATTATAAATTGACTTGAAATGGACATGGAAGACTTGGGGTTAGCTAGGGAAAGTTTTTTTAAAGATTAAAAAGTCAAGATTTCAGGCCTGGGTTGCGGCTCAGTGGTACAGTACTCATCTGGCATGGGTGAGGCACTGGGTTTGATTTTCAGCATCATATATAAATAAATAAATAAATAAATAAATTAATTAATTAATTAATTAAAGGTCCATTCATAACTAAAAAAAAAAATTTTAAAGAATGGGGGGTGCTTGGGCTGTGGCTCAGCAGTAAAGCGCTTGCCTAGCATGTGTGAGTCACTGGGTTTGATCCTGTATATAAATAAATGAATAAAATAAAGGTCCATCAACAACTAAAAAATAAATTTAAAAAATAGAGGATCTACAATTTTAGGTATGTGTTGCCTGGGGGCAGAATTATAGACCAAATGATGTTCTTTCTTCAGGTTTCTTACAATTCAGAATATTTGCTTACTTTTAAATTTGTGTAGAATCCTGTTATTCAACCCTGGCATCACAATAACCACAGCCAATTACAGTTTTCAGAAAAACAAATATCTTACTTGCAGAATTTGAATAAAATCTTTTCAAACACAAGAACGGGCCCCGTACTTCCTAAGATGGTAAGGGGCTGTCCTGCAAACAAGGAATAGGCAATCCCAGTCATGGAGGCTCCAAATAAGGATTCAATTGCACTCTGAGAAGGAAAAGAAATCACTTAAGTTCACGTAGTCCATCAGTAAAGAGTAATGTTGGCTTATATAACTCCCGACTTAGCCCTAATATGTGCCTTGACAGTTATTTGCTTGTATTTCTTAGCAAGGGTGATGTGTACACACCATCTAATACTCTTGTAAACAGATCCCACTTTAATAATTCAGGTATCCAAATCCATTTACATATGATTCCTTAACTAAGTTCTTGTTCTTCGGTGACTCAATTCAGTATTCAAAAATACATAAAAGGCACGATGATGCTATTCACACTACAAGTTGTCATACAATCACTTAAAATCTTATTTTCAAATGACATCAATATATCCATTTTCCATTCTTGGGGCAATGAGCAATTCAACTAGGCAACCAGTTATTGTAACTGACATTGGAGCAGAAGATAGTCTGCTCAAGATAGAGAAGGTTTTTCTTATATGAAGACAGAAGTCCTCAGTTATTCAAGAGAAAGAATCCAGTTTCCTCAGTCCTTGTCCAGGTAATTTCATCCCAATGGAGTTGGCTGCCACCATAATATTTTTAAGTTGTGTTTAGGACCATTAAAAGTGATTGAAAGTTCTTACTATGCGTCCCTCAGTGGCTTCTCCAAGCAATCCCCCAAAGGTGATGACAGGTGACATGCAGGCACAATACAGGAACAGAAAGGAGGCCAGACACTGTAAGCTGAGTGCATCCCTGTAGTCGCTCCAGTACCAGGGGGCCTTCCGCTTGATGTCCAGCACCAAGCCCCCAAATAGCCTGCAGAAACATAGCAGACAGGCTTCTAACACAGCCCCTCTTTCACAAATGCATAATGAATGGCACACATTTGAAAATATTTTAAATGTACTCTGTACTAAAGTAGTATTTGGGGTTCAATTTGACCTCAAGTATAGCAGATCTCTCTGGGGTCAGCACAGATTCTATGTGCCATCAAGGCATGGCTTACTATAAGTCTGAATGATTTATTCAATTCAAAAAAATTAATTTGGGTATCATATTACCCATTTAATAAAAAGTTCAAAAAGTTAATAAGGAAGCAAGTATTGGCTTCAAACTTCAAATTCTGATCTGTTTGGAGGAAATATATAAAACTGACTTGAGATATACAATTGTTAGTTTTATTACACATTTTCCAGATGAAATGCCCCATCACACGTACTTTCTTACTCTGAACAACTACCTACCTTCCTCTTGAGAATTAGCATAATTGCTCGTGCATGCCATTAACAAGTAGTAGCAGATACTTGGTGCTAGGCACTGTGCCAAGGTACTGGAGATGCAGCGGTGAGCAAGACAAACACAGCTTTTGCTCTCCTCTAGTACAGGAGACAGGCACTGTGGTAGCACAGAACAAGGAGGGGCATTTCAGCAGGGACTCAAAGGATGGACTGGGAGATAGCCAGATGAGGCAAAGGAACCAGCATGGGTGACACCTAGAGTTGAGACTACGCAATGGTTCAAGGTGCTAGAAGATTTATGACTAGACAATACAGTGCAAGGGGCAAACACCAACAGTCAAGGCTGAAGAAGCTGAGTCACGAAAGGCCTTATGACAGTTTTAAGTCAAGCTACTCAAGGACTGTAAACACAGTGGAGCTTTATAATCCAACAAGCATAAAGCTCTCAAATTCCTTCCATTTTTCTGCAAATGACATAATTTAATTCTTCTTTGTGACTAAATAAAACTTTATTTTGTATATATCCCATAGTTTATTTATCCATCATCCATTGACCAACACTCATGTGGCAGTGTGATGAAGGCAGTGTAAATTGGGATGAGAAGAAAAGTGGATGGATTTAAGGTTTAATCAGGAAGTAGAATCAACAGGACTCAGTGGTAGGACTTCAGAGTCTTCTCCACTTCCCATGGATGAGACCGACAAGAAACAAGATGTTGGAGAGCCAAGGAGGAGATCTTACTCTCAGACTTAGTCATTTTTTTTCTAAGAATGGAGTCACTGTACCAGGGGGGAAACTGCCTAGTGAGTAACAAAAAGAGCCACACTGTATCTCACAGGACACATCACTTGGTTTCTTCTACAAATCAACAGCATAGAGAAAAAGGAAAGGAAGAGGGACTATTGTAGGATGAGAACATAGTAACCAAATGCAAAATGGACTGGATCCTACATCAAACAAATGAACCCTAAAAAGATGATGGTGACAATCACAAAAAATTTAAAGTGCACCTAAGTATTAGATGATTTAAATAATTATTATTAAATTTGTTACATTTGATAATGGCATAATTATTTTTTAAAATGTCCTTATCAAACATGATAGATACTGAGGTATTTATAGGAAAAAATATATTTTGTGATTTGGTTTAAAATAACCTAGAAAGCAGAAAAATAAGTGGGAAGAAATAGATCAAATAAGATTGGAAAAACGTTGATAACAGTTGCTTCTCTTCCTTTTTTTACATTTGAAATTTTCTGTAATAAAGAGCTAAAACTAAATAAAAAACAAGTTGGGCCGGGTCTGTAGCTCAGTGGCAGAGCACTTGCCTAAGCACGTGTGAGTCACTGGGTTCCATCCTCAGCACCGCATAAAAAAATAAACAAATAAAGGCATGCTGTCCATCTACTACTATTAAAAAAAAAAAAAGTTACTCTCTCACAAAAGGAGGCTTGCAAGCTCTTTCTTCCCTTCTCTCTTCTAGGAGCCTGGAAAAGTATGGTGAGGTCTAGGACCCACATGCCAGGGGAGAAAGCCCAGCCAGTTGGTTGTCCACTCACTCTTATCTAGCTGCACAATGGGTATGCAGGTGTTCACAGGGCATACACTGTTCTATCTTGCCCACTTGCTCTATTCCTCTGGTGGGTGTAGTTGGGATTCACCTTTGCTCCATCTATAGTAGTAACATGACATCTGAGTGTAGGCTTAGAAAAGAGAGGCAAAGCCAGTCTTATGACCTGCCTTTAATTTTAGACTGTCTGGCAAACCTAGCTCAGGTAAAGAAGTATCTAGAGGGTTCAACATAGATCAGGAGCCTTCAGCCTCAGATTTTGATTGTTGCTTTGTCTTGCTCTCTTCTCTGGATAAATAACCCCTCAAGGATCTCACAGGCAGCAGTGATTAGTCTGGGGATAAGATTCAAGTGTTTCTGGGTCCTTAGCTACCATAGCATCCAGTGACACCTCCTCATCACAAGCAACCTTCCTCTGAAGGGCATTATCTTCGAAAAATAACTTCCTTCTGACCTCCCACTGAGGCCACCAGAAACACTGCCATAATTAGCCTATCCCTGGACACAGGAGGCCTCTTTGGAGAGAAGAGTCTGTGAGCGACAGACAAAAGATTGATGTGACATGTGTTTATGAAAAGCTACAAAAAGGGAAGAAATCTGTCTGTCTAGCAATGATTAAACAGAAGAGGGAGATTTGAGGCTTATACTGATGGTATAACATTTAATAAAATAATTTCTGAATACTGTTAATACCTCATTCATGCATAAAACCAGATGATAATTTCACATCTACCACAGATATTAACTTAGGCCTCGATGCTTCTTTTCATATTTGAGACTTCCTTTCCCTTTCAACACTGTTCTTGATGTTCAAGTTTTGGGGGGCAGGAGGCACAGAGGAATATGAATTTAAGCTTGACGTTAAGAAAGAACTTACCCCGTGTAGAGGGTCACTAGGCTCTGGAGCACTGACTTAGGGAGCCCTTTCCTGGAGGGCTTTAGGGACAGGCCAGTCATCCATTTGTCTGGTGTGCTTTGGAAGAAACCTGTTTGAAGTGTGGGGGTATCATCGAGATAGTAGCTCCTGATTCTTTTTTTACATTAACCCTTCCCCCAAACTGGCACCTCCGATAAAGGATATAAATCTACCCTGGAAAACCCCTTTCCAGAGTATCTTTCTTGCTGAGGATCTTCTGGACAAGGAAGACTCTAGACATACTTTCTTGCAACATATGGTGTCCCTGTCTGTGATGACATCAGGGAGGTTCAAAACACTGTCATGGCCCTGGCTTGGAGGGTCAGATAAAACAGAAATCACAGTACTATTTTCAACTCTGACTCCTTTCCCAGCTTCTTAGAGTCTACTCTACTCCGTTTTCAAATACCTCTTAGTCCAACAAGAATAACATCCCTTCTGTCTTCAAGTTTTGCCTCAACGTTGTATAACATGATATGCACAAAGCAGGCTTTGCTTACAAAGAAACTTAACTAATGGTTTGAAGAATTATAAAATCCAAGATAATGTGTTTACCACATGTTTTATTGGTGCATTATAATTATACATAAAAGTGGGACTCATTGTTACATATGCATATATGCATGAAATATAATAGTATAATTTGGTCCATTTCATTTCCCAGTACCTTCCCATTTCTCTCTTCTCCTCCCTCTAGTCTACTGATCTCCCTTCTATTTTCATGAGATTCCCCCTACCATTTTTTTGTCCCTTTTCTCTCTAACTTCCACATATGTTAAAAAAGTTATGATCTTTAACTTTCTGAGTTTGGCATATTTCACTTAACATAAAGCTCTCAAGTTCCTTCCATTTTCCTGAAAATGACATAATTTAATTCTTCTATGTGACTAAATAAAACTTTGTTGTGTATATATACCATAGCTTATTTATCCATCATCCATTGACCAACATCTAGGCTAGTTCCATAATTTGGCTATTGTAAACTGTGCTGCTATAAACATGGGTATATATGTATTGCTATAGTATGCTGACTTTAATTCAATAGGATAAAAACTAAGGAGTTGGATAACTGAAAAACCCAAGTTAATGAGTTTTTTAAATTTTTATTTAACTAAATGTATTATTATTATTATTATTATACTAGAGATTGAATCCAGGGGTTCTTAACCACTACCACTGAGCCACATCTCCAGCCCTTTTAATTTTTTAATTTAGAGACAGGGTCTCACTAAATTGTTTAGGACATCACTAAGTTGTTGAGGCTGGCTTTGAAGTTATGATCCTCCTGCCTCAGCCTTCTGAGCTAATGGAATTAAAAGCATGTACAACTGTGCCTGACTACTAATGTGTTTTCAGATTGTTCAGTCCAGGAAGGTCCAGAAATGTCTGGATGTCCATCTACAGCAAATGTCTCACATTTCTTTCCCACATAACTTGAAAAGGAGAAGGGGCCAGAGATGGACTGAAACTGGGATCTCTGATACCAATACAGGCAGTAAATCACCTGGTCCAAGAGGAAAGTCATGGGTCCTGAGGCCCTTTACTATGTGCTCAGAAGAAAAGGTCTAAAGGAAGAGGTTAAAGCAAAACTATGCTCTGAGTCCAGTTTTTAGCTTTGTTAATTTCAGAATTTCCTGATGTGACATTATCAAACTCTATCTGAATTTATATGTTAAAGTACTTGGGGCAGGAAGATCACAAGTTCAAAGCCAGCTTCCACAACTTAGTTAGGACCTAAGCAACTTAGCAAGACCTGTCTCTAAATAAAAAATAAAATGGGGGCACTGGGGTTGTGGCTTAGCGGTAGAGCGTTCACCTAGCACATGTAGGGCACTGGGTTAGATCCTCAGCACCACATAAAAAAATAAATAATAAAGGTATTGTGTCCAACTACAACTAAAATATATATATAAACAAATAAAAAAGGCTGGGGATGTAGCTCAGTGGTTAAGTGCTCCTGGGTTCAATCCCTGATACCAAAATACATACATACATACATACGTAAAAAATACTTGGGGCTTTTGATTAAGCATGTGATAGACCTGTGATATGAAATTTTCTGTGGATACATTAGGTACCTTTTCTGAGATCTCAAAATGGTTGAGATGCAATCAAATGGTTTCCTAAATCCTCATGTAGAGTTAATCATAAACATGGCTATCTAGTTTATTATTTTATTATTATTTATTATTTTCTTTGGCAGGGAAAGAAACTGAAATTTTTTTTTTCTGAAATCATACCTCTGTACAGATACCTGTTTGAGGAAAACCTGTTGCCCTTGATTCCATTATTTTCTAACTAAGTCCTAGGGTGCGGACACCCTTTTTTTTAATTAAAAAAAAGTCATAATTCTGAAATTATCAAATCCATACTCAAGACCCTTTCCTTAAACAAACAACAACAACTACAAAACCCCATTTCTTCTAAGACAGTCCCAATCCTGGAGCCAATTCTAAGGACAGTCATTCCCTTATTGCCTCTCAGCATCAGGCCCCCCTGCCATTCAGACCTCTTCTCAGTGACCCTTTCCTTTCAAAGACTCCTCCTTTGTGTCAAGGCTCCCTCTCAGAGCATAGCTATCTTCTCGAATGTACTCCTTCAACTAGAACATATTACCCTATCAGGATACTATTAGATAAGTGCCATTCTCTTGTTTCTCCTAGTTTCTCCCTGAATTTTCATGAGTGGAAAAGTAAATCACTGTCCATAATTTCAAAACAAAACAAACAAAAATTTGACTTTCCACTGGGTAGAATACTAAGGATAAAAGACGAAAGGAAAGCAATCTCAAGCAAGATAGGGAAAAAAAAAGAAATAGAAGCCATAAAAGCTTCTTTTTATGATATGTGAATCTCCATCCAGTACATTCTTCTCAGCACAAAAATACAGAGCCAGAGTCAGAGTCATAACATTCTCTAATCTGAGAACACCACTGGATGTCACACCAATGCCAAATATCCTCCCCTCTTTTACCACCTTCCTGGCTGGGAAATAAAACCTTCTAATCTGGATATTGTTGCCCTCACCTACCATAAAAGCCCTTTTCCTTGGACATTTGTTCTTAAAAATATTGGCCTAGAAGATTAGATTCCCTATTCTGAGATATACAAACCTAAGATAGTACCTTTTCCCTCTAACTTAATGCTGAGGCATTACACCCCAGGAAAACCTACCTTTGACTATGGAGAATACAAGAAAGCTTTCCAAAGGAAGGGACACCTGAGTTGAGCTGAGTTAGCCAGGAGATGAGGAAGGTGGAGAGTGTTCAAATCAGAGGGAACAATGTGTGGAAAGGATTGGACACGAGACAGAACATGATAGGTGGTTTCAGAAACTTGAATGAATGAATACATTTGATATATTTATGATACCTATACTTGGTATTTCCATCTGAAAAGTTATTTCCAGACAATAAAGTCCCACTACAGAGAAGAAGATTGAAAACAAAAAAGGATGCTTCTTTCCTTCACACAACTTCTGCACAGTAAGCAGCATCAGCTGTGAAACAACCCAGAACTTACCGCCCAGTACGCTGCAGTTCTGGTCCACTATGACCCCCGTGTGGTTCTGGTTCTATGTGGCAAACATTTCCATTTGGAACTCCAGGCATTTTCCTTTTCTCCTTTTAACAGAAGACCATAAAGTTAGTAAAATCAGTATTTATCTGTAGTTCCTGCTAAAAGTGGGGAGTGGTGATGGGATAACCCAAAAGCAACCCAAATGCTCAAGTGTTTGTAGTTTTCAAATGCATTTACTGAGTTGATGCAATTTACTGACTTTCCTGGGGAAGAAAAAAGTGTGTGTATATTTATATATATATATATATATATATATATATATATATATATATAATTTCTTTTCCTCTGCAATAGAACCTGACTCCTAACTGTATCTTGCCCAGAAACAAAAAATGGAGGCTTTGGCATCAGAGTTTCAGTTTCAGATCTGCTCCTGTAAAATCTTACTTTACCATAAAACCTTGCCCTAAGATCATTTTATTTCTCATGTGTAAACTAAAGATAATAATACCTTTTGGAGGGAATGTTGCTGGGAAAGTTGAATTCACACGTATGAAGCACCTGCCCTAATACCTAGTACATAGCAGAAGTTTTCTTCCCACTCTAAATATGTCAGAAAAGTAAAGAAATCCTATTTGTTCTCTCCATACAGCTTGTTGTCTTTTTTTCACTTGATAACTTTAAACATAATATACTGTCAAGAAATGTTCTCCCTTCTCCTCTCTGCATTCTACATCAATGCCTTCAAAATTTGGCTGAAAATTCATGCCCAGACTGAAAATTTGTGTAACCACTCTGGAAAGCTGTATGGAGATTCCTCAGAAAACTGGGTATGGAGCCACCATTTGACCCAGTTATCCCACTCCTTGATATATACCCAAAGGACTTAAAATCAACATACTAGAGTGATGCAGCCACATCAATTTATAGCAGCTTGATTTACAATAGCTAAGCTATGGAACCAACCTAGGTACCTTCAATAGATGAATTAAAATAGAAAATGTGGTATTTATATACACAATGGAATATTACTCAGCCATAAAGAAGAATGAAATTATGGCATTTGCTGGTAATTGGGATGAAACTGAAGACTATCATGCTAAGTGAACTAAGCCAATCCCAAAAAACCAAAGGCTGAATGTTGTCTGTAATATATAGATGCTAACATACAATAAGGGGAGAGGAAGGGAAGCATAGAAGTACTCTGGATTAGAAAAAGGGGAATAAAGGGAAGGGAAAGAGTTGGAAATAGGAAAGACAGTAGAATGTGTAGTACATAGCTTTCCTGTGTTCATATATGAACACATAACCAGTGTAACTCTTACATTATGTACAACCACAAGAATGGAAGTTATACTCCATGTACATATAACATGTCAAATTACATTCCACTGTCACATATAACTAAAAAGAACAAATAAAAAATTTAAAAGACTTCATTCTCACGTAACCCTGCTATCTCTTCACATCTAAAACAATCTATATTACTGAATATTTATTTTTTTATTACTGTTCTGACATTCTAGGAGCCCCAAAATAGGACCACATCTCAATTTATTTAGTATATGTCCACATGGCCTTTGCTTTATTCATGGTGGGCACTCAGTGACACTAGCCACCACTGGCTAATGTGCATACATTACCTGTGAAGGGACATTTTTAGGTGGTTCAATTCTAATGGAGGGGTCCCATTCCCCTGGAGGAAGCACCGTCACCTGGTCTAGGAACTCATCAATCCCTGCTAGGAGATCATCTCGCTCTTTTGCCTTATATGCCACATCGTGAAAAATCTACAAAAAAGGAAAAACTCTTATGAAAGTTGAAAGTTACTCAAATTATTGATATTTATCTCTGTCATAGGGATCTGAGAAGAAGAAAATTTAGCACTTAGAAAAGTGCAAAGATAAAATATTTAAAAAATGAACCTTTAGAGATGAGTTGGGTCAAAAAGAATTAATAAATATCTGCTAGTATAAGAAGAAATAGATGACTCTAAAGATATACAGAGCTATTATATTCTCAAAGGATGGGGGAAAATGATGTATAGAAATTTTCTTGATTATAATGTTTAGAAAAAATGGATGGAATTACTAAGGAAGGTCCTCCATGAAATAAGCCTCCCAAAGAGAGCTGAAAAAATAGCCCACACCTCCCTTTGCCTACTACAACATATGCTTGAAAGCTCAGCTTTGCAGTTCAATGTGCAACATGGTCCTCTCCAGGGTTTGGCACTGTGGATCGTACAATGTCAAAATGGCTGGCGGCTTGGTACAGACAAACAAGAACATTCACATGACACTGGCTAAGATCACACACCTGACCTTATAAAAAAACGGGTCTCATTTAGGTGGGAGTGAATATTTTACGAAAATAGCTTATATATATTTAATTAACCGTATTCTCTAGGAAATTAAGTCAGCTTTAAGTGTATTTCTCTCCATATATTACTTGGAAATAATAATTTTCCCAGAAAAGGATTTCTCCTCATCCTTAATTAACCAAAAAGGGAGAGATAACATAGGAAGAAAAATCCCCAGATACAAATAGGAAAAGATGAACTCAAACTATCACTATTTGCTGACAACATGATTCTATATTTAGAAGATCAAAAAAATTCCACCAGAAACTTCTAGAATTAAATAAATTAGCTTTAACTAAATGAATTCAGCAAAGTAGCAGGATATAAAATCAATACCCATAAATCAAATGCATTTCTATATATAAGTGATGAATCCACTACAAGAGAAATTAGAAAAACTATCCATTCACAAAGTTAAAATGGAACTATCCATTCACATAGTTAAAAAACAAAAAACAAACAAACAAAAAAAAACTTGGGAACCAATCCAACAAAAAAAGTGAGAGACCTCAACAATGAAAAAACTACAGAACACTAAAGAAAGAAATTGAAGAGATTTTAGACAATAGAAAGATCTCCCATGCTCTTGGATAGGTAGAATTAATGTTGTCAAAAGCATATTACCAAAAGCATTATGCAGATTTAATATACTTCCCATTAAAATCCCAATGACATGGGGCTGGGATTGTGGCTCAGTTGTAGAGCACTTGCCTTGCATACATGAGGCACTAGGTTCCACCCTCAGCACCACATAAAAATAAATAAATAAAATAAAGATATTGTGTCCATCTACAGATAAAAAATATATTTTAAAAAAATCCAATGACATTCTTCATAGAACTAGAAAATTCATTTGGAAAAATAAGAGACCCAGAATAGCCAAAGCAATCCTTAGCAAGAATAGTGAAGCCAGAGGCATCACAACACCAGACCTCAAACTATACTACAGAGTAATAATAATAAAAATGGCATGATATTGGCACCGAAATAGACATGTAGACTGATGATACAAAACAGAAGATTCAGAGACAAACCCACATAAATATAGTTACCTCATACTAGACAAAGGTGCCAAAAACATTCATTGGAGAAAAGATAGGCTATTCAACAAATGGTACTGGGAAAAGTGGAAATCTATCTGTAGCAAAATTAAATTAAACCTCTATCTCTCACCTTGCACAAAAATCAATTCAAAGTGGATCAAAGACTTAGGCACTAGAACAGAGATTCTGTGCCTAACAGAAGAAAAAGTAGGCCCAAATCTTCATCATGTTGGCTTAGGACCTAACTTCTTTAATAAGACTACTAAAGTGCAAGAAAGAAAATTAGGAATCAATAAATGGGATGGATTCAAACTAAAAAGCTTCTTCTCAGCAAAGGAAACAATCAATAATGTGAAGAGAGAGCCTATAGAATGGGAGAAAATCTTAACCATATGCACCTCAGAATACTAATCTCCAGGATATATAAAGAACTCAATGGTCTGGGATTGTGGCTCAGTGGCAACGTGCTTGCCTCACGTGTGTGAGGCACTGGGTTCAATACTCAGCACCACATAAAAATAAATAAATAAATAAATAAAAGTATTTTTTAAAAAAGAACTCAAAAAGCTGAACACTAAAAAAACAAACAACCCAGTTAATAAATGGGCTAAGGAACTGAACAGACATTTCACAGAAGAAGAAATACAATCAATCAACAAATATATGAAAAAATGTTCATCATCTCTAGAAATTAAAATCAAAACTACTCTTAGATTTCATCTCAGTCTAGTCCGAATTACAATTATGAAGAATACAAGCAATAATAAGTGTTGGTGAGGATGTGGGAAAACAGGTACACTCATACATTGCTGGTGGGACTGCAATTTGGTGCAACCACTATGGAAAGCAATATGGAGATTCCTCAAAAAACTTGGAATGGAATCACCATTTGACACAGTTATCCCACTCCTCAGTTTATACCCAAAGGACCTAAAATCAGCATACTACAATGACACAGCCACATCAATGTTTATAGCAGCTCAATTCACAATGGCTAAACTATGGAACCAACCTAGATGCCCTTCAACAGATGAATGGATAAAGAAAATGTGGTACATATACACAATGGAATATTACTCAGCCTTAAAGAAGAATGGCATTTGCAGGTAAATGGATGGAACTAGAGAATATCATGCTAAATGAAATAAGCCAATCCCCCTCCAAAAAAAAAGAGGCCACTCTGATAAGTGGATGCTGACCCATGATCAAGTGGTGTGGGGAGAATGAAGGAACTTTGGATTATGCAGAAGGGAGTGAGGAGAGGGGCAGGGCACTGGAGATGGAAAAGTTGGTAGAATGAGACAGACATTATTACCCTATATACATGTATGATTACACTACTGGAGTGACTCTGTACCATGTACAGCCAGAGGAATGAGAAGTTGTGCTCATTTGTGTGCAATATGTCAAAATGCATTCTACTGTCATGTATAATCAAATAGAACAAATTTTAAAAATTTTTTTAAATCTACCAGAGGGCTTGGTATTCCCACAAGAGGCTCTCAGAAAAATGCCCTGAACTGATTCCCAGCAGACAATGCAATTATAATTATTTTATCTCCAATCACTAGCACAGTATTTGGCACAGAATAAACAATAAATATTTATGAGATGAGTGAGTGAAAAGCAGAAATGGCACATACCTCATCTGTCATGATGGTGGCCATGGATCTGCCAATTTCATGGTACTGCTGACCTTTCCCTACTGGGCCCAATAAGATAAACAAAAATCTGGCAAAACACACAGAAGAAGAAATTACATAAGTAACTCTGTAGAAGCAGAATCTTATTTCTCTCTAGACAGTAAAACATTTCTCTCTCCTATCAAAAAAAAAAAAATCATCATTGTACCTTCAGAGAGAGAGACAGAGAGACAGAGAAACAGAGATGAATCATTTCAAGTTGCCTTAACCTAAGGACACTGAAAGCTATTTGTATGACATCATTCAATACTGTGGCTATATTTCTTAGGGTTTTCATAGACACAATTCCTAGGTGTAGGAAGGACATCTTTTCAAAACATGGCATTGTTGTACAAATTCAAGGTTATCTGACTCCTATTCATTGTTCTAATAAGAAAATGCAGAAAAAGGAAAGGGATAAGGAAGTTGAAATGATCAAGCCTTATAAAGAAGTTTAACCTCTGTTCTGGACATCTGAATACTATCTATAATTTGTGGGTCTCTGGATCAATGGCATCACCACCTTCAGAGCACATGAATAGCCTTTTGAATAAATGCAGGCATATATGCAAAACACATAAACCCTTCCAGAACTGTGGAAAGAGACACCAATACCCTTGCTTAAAGACATCTCCCTTGAATATGGCTCTGTAGAACTGGGAGAGTGAGATTTAGGCTTCCTATTATATTAAGTGACTGGCCTTTGCTATGCCCTCTAATTGCTCCTCCATTTTCCATTTTCAAGGCTGTAGGTACCATGTAATCATAGCCTTAAAAATCATAATTTCTTTGCATAGCAGTTAATCAAATATAACCCAGTTTTCTGAGCTTGCTGCCAAACTTTTTAAATTCCTAATTTAATCAGTTCTAACTTTTGGTATTAGTTATCTTCTACCAGTGTTCACATAGATTTATACTCCAGATAGAAAGTTTTAACTTTGCCTTTACCTTGTTGGGATTGGCACTTCTGTCAGGCCTGAGAGAAGAACAGCGGGAGACAGCCTCACAAAGGCAACGATGGGCCGGTCCAAAGTATCCACCTCTCCAACCAGGACATTTGAGGCCTCTGCCCCACTGGGAATTTTTTTCATAAAATGAAGGTCCACCTGAAAGTGCAAAAGAGCCTTCTGACAATTTGGGAGCCATCATCTTAAATATCAACCACTCTCCTCATACCTGAAATTCACATTGTGATTTTATGGTTAACAAGTATTTTTTCATAGTCTTATTTGATCCTTACAAAAACTCTGTATGGACAGATAAGACAGGCCATAATAATACTACTATGTAAAAAATAAAAAATAAAGCAACTGAGATCCAGAGAGCTAAAGTTAACTTGCCCAGGGCTGTAAAATAAAGAACCAAATTTAAATTTAGGTATTCTGAAGGCTGGAGGTGGGGTGTGGCTAAGTGGTATAGCACATGCCTAGCATGTATAATGCTCCGGGTTCAATTCTTGGCACTTCAAAACAAACAAACAAACATAAATACAGGTATTCTGGTTTGAATTCTACTCTACCATGCTTCCCCAGACTCTGAAACTCTGGGTCACATAATTTCACTTTTTAAATACTTGAATCCATTGTCAGAGGTTTCAGGTTTTCTAAATAAAGCAGGAATCTTCGAGCAAAGAAAGTGATATAACACTATTTTGTTCTAGAAAGATAGTGTCAGGGGTAGACCAGAGCAAGGAGAGGTTAGAAGCAAGGAGATCAAGGTTTAGACCAGAAACTGCAGTGAGGTGCTGCTATTGCTGCAGGCCTCAGATTATACAGTCACAGCCTGCAAGAAGAGTTTCTACCATAAGGTAGCAAAAGTACTGTTTTGGCAAAACTCTTGGATACAAGAAGGAGCTGCAGGAGACTGGCTACCAAAAAATACGTGAAAAAAATCAAGAGGTCTGGGTTGGAGAGGACTCTCAGTAGCTGGTCACAATATTCAGCATTTTGAATCTGGAGGAACAAACTGACAAGTCAATCCCACCTGGGGGTCAGGTAGTGGGGAGAAGACCTGAGCAGATGGGCCTCCTTTTCCACAGAAGAAACTCTGGTCTTGCAAAAAGGGTATTAAAATAGCAAAGCTTGCCCAGATTCCAGCAGTTGGACCTGGGGTTCCACTAGAGATAACCTTAAGCTTTGAAATCAACTTCCCATGTCTCTGCTTACCTTGCTTAAATCTACAGGACTGTGTTCACAATTCACTCCATTTTTCACTTCAAGATTTGTAGCTGGAACAGACTGAGGAGATAAAGTTTGACCTATTTGGAGAAAATCAAATAGAATCCTCTAAGTGCCTGCCCTTTTCCTTGTATGACACACCCTATCCATCACCAGTTGGTTAGGACTTCTCCTGCAAAGTCTACATGGAGAAAAGTTAAGGTGACCATGAAGCTGGGATCCACTCATACCTATCTCCTTACCTACTAGTTAGTGGTAAGGGAAACAGAAGTCTTATTACTTTTGTACCTTTCTAAACATATTAGTGATTCTCTTTTCTTTCTCTGTTAAAGCAGTAATTCCTAATCAGAAGTATATAGGAGAGACTCCTTTGAAGAACTTTTCAAAAATACAGATTCCCAGGCATATCTCTGCACATTGCAATTCTATAAATGAGGAGACCAAGAAATGAACATAGAGGAGGCAAACAGCAACTGAAATTCAATGAGTGGTTACAACCCACCATGTACCTGGCTAAAGGCTCTATAGAGATTAACTCATTGAAATCTCACAATACACTGAAAGAGTAGGTCCTATTATTATCTTTATTTTACCAGAGAGAAAGTAAGAAAGAAGTTTAGTAGGTCATATGCTTTGCAAGTGATAAAGCCAGAAACACAAGTCTAGAAGTCTGACTTAAGGGTCTACACTATCATATTTTGTCTCCCCAGTCTAAGATATTTGTTTACTCCTAAAAGGCTCCAGTTTACCTTCTCTAACCCCAAATTACTCCCAATGTTTATATGGCCCCAAAGCTACATCAGTTATGAGACCACCCTGGGGTACAAGTCCCTTATCTTGAGTCCACTAAGATCTATCAAAAGCAACCATACCAAGTACTGCAAGAGAGACAAGGACCAGTCCCAGCTACTCACCTCACCAGTCACCAAAGTACAGTGTCTAAGTGAGCATGGAAACATACTGACAAGTACAGTAACTCAGCATCTCCATCACTTATTAATAAAAGAAACAACAACCATTCATAATAACCTTACCATTTTTATCCATTGAATGTGGATCAGACTGCTTCTTGCCAACTTCAGCAAAAGAGCGAACAATAGGAATAAGGTTGTTTCTCTTCTTTTCATTCTGATGATGATGCTTTTTGAGAAGGGCTTCCCGCACTTTAACCCTCATGCTATCATTTAGGTCACTGAACAGTTCTTGCTGGTCCAGTATCAGGTCTAGAAAGTAGGCATTCATAAGAACACTCAAACTGAGGCCATCAGGTGGGGTGACCTCTCTAAAGATTTGACATAGATATATAAAACTCTCCCCTCTCTTAGTTTTTGTTATGGGTTGAATGGTAGCCCCTCAAAAGATTTATGTCCCAACTGCCCCACTCAAACCTATGAGTGTTACCTGATTTTTTAAAAGGGTCTTTTCAGATATAATGAAGTTAAGGATCTCAAGGTGAGATTTCCCTGTAAAAGCCTTCAGAGAGAGTATGGCCTTTCCTATATCTTGATTTTGGGGCTTCTGGCATTCAGAACTGTGAAAGAATAAAGTCTATTGTTTTAATCTACCAAGTTTGTGTGGAAATTGTTACAGCCATCTTAGGAAACTAATACAAATTTTATGGCCAGTATCTGATTCTTCTCCCATTTCTCTGAGCACTCCTTCTCCGACTCCTTGGCTAACTTTTTTTATTCTAATATACACAAGCCCGCTATGCTACCCATTGAAGGTTCCCAGTTTCTGATCTTCCTTTCCTTTAATAATCTCAACCACCTCTAAGACTTTAAGCACCAGCTGCCTATGAACTTATCACTCCTAAAACTATATGCTAGTTCAGATCTCTCGCCTAAGCATGACACTGAAGTTCCAATTACCCACTAGACATTTCCATCTAGATGTTCCACACACGTCTGGAAATCAATATGTACAAAATCAAACCCACTCTCTTTTCCAATAGACCTGCTTCTTTTCTAGTCACCCAACCACCTAAGTCAGAATCCTTAACTCTCTTTCTTTCAGAACTCAACTAATCTGTCAAATGGGTTTCATCAGTTCTACATGCCCAGTTTCACCAGAAATTGTCTCACTCCTTTTCCTCCCCTACTACCATCATAGTGCAGTAGTCTCACCTGAACTACTACAATAGTCTAACGCATTTCTCCCTTCAATTCACCTTCCATATTGTTGTCATTATCTCTTTAATATGCAAAACTTGATAGGTCATTACCCTGCCAAAAATATTTCCAATATAGCCTCATTGTTTACATGGAGTTATAACTTCAATAATTCCCAGGGATTCTTCTACCTAAGATAAACGTAACCTTTTAAGGGACATCATTGTATTTCAGGCATTAACCAAAAGTGAACAAAATGTAGACGTGAACACAGTAGTTAACACAAGAATTCCATTTTTCACAATCATTGGTACTTCTGGGGCACCTCCTTTGAAAGGAGAAAGACACAGGATTCCATCACAGCTGACCCTTCACTTGGGTCCCATGTGACTGCAGAATTACTTAGATTCTTGAAATGGAGAAAGGCATGAAAACATCTTTATTTAACTTGTCTTGCTAAACAAAGCCCATTTGAGGGGAAAGTCCCCATAAGTGAGAATACCTAGGTGTTTCTCCAACTGTGATACCAAAACATAGTAAATTAACATCCAATTACACCAGGAAAACTCCATAAGACATGGATCTCCCCTTCACATCTTACTGAAAATGTGAGAATACTATGGCTTGATTTCCTACATATCTTTTCTAGATGCCATATTTTAAAACCTTTGATTCTCTTTAACTCCCTCTTCTCTGCACAACTCCCATTGCCCCTTTCTCTAATTATTCTTTTGGAGGAGGGTACTTAGCATTTAACTCAGGGGCAATTTACTACTGACCTAATTATTCTTAAGCATGTCTTTGTTGATGCACTTACTTTAATTGCTGATTCCATAGCCACTACCTGACTAAAAGATGCGCTCCCTAAAAGTAGAAACAATCTTACCTGTATAACCCTAGGCCTCACACATTATGAAGTGTATAATATATACAAAATAAATGTTTGTCAAATGAACCAGCAAATGTAAGACTAAGCGCTGTGTCATCTGAATCCCATAATAAGCCTGAGAAATAGAGTAGCTAACCCTTCCCCCTGCTGAGTACATCGAGGTCAAGAAGGCTATGATTTGCCTAAGGACACACCACCACTATTCTTCCCTCTAAAGCATACACAAGCATTCCTTTTTCACTAACCTTACCTGAAATTTCTTCTATGCTATTTGCACGCATATCCAAAAGGACAGTTCCATTGATGAGGCAGCTCCTTAGCTCAAAGAGACTGTGCAATGAGAGGGTTGCCACATAAGGCTTGCTCCAGCGCTCTCCCCCATCCTCAACATCTTCTTCAAACTTCAGCCACCTAAAAGCATTACAAATAACTAGATGCCAAAGACAGAAAGTGAAGAATTTTCAAGAGAGAAAAATATCTGAATAGTCATATTGAACATTGTAAAATCTGATCTATATGTTTAGGGTACATTGTTTGGTGAAAAAAGCAATCTTTTTTCACTGTCAATATAACAGTGCAATATTGACCATAGTTCAATTTTGTTCTTATTTAAAGAAAAATTTTAAAATACAATTATATACATGTATAAGATACCAAATATATTCTTTGTTATTCCTAAGGTAGTGGGATTATAGATAATTTTCATTTTCTTCTTTTTGCTTATCTTTATTTTCTTTCTATAATAAGCATGCATTACCTGAACAATTAAAAAAAGATCTAGTTTATATCTCTTGGACAAAACTACCAAATCATATTAATAAATCAATATTTTTCTTTTTTTAATCAGTGTTCTGTATGATCTTTAGTTCTATGTTCTATGTGACCTTTAGGAGTCTACAAAGACAGAATGGCAGGAGAATAATTGCCTTTTCACCTGATATCAGGTTGACTGTTCTGTTTAATACTCTCTATCCATAGAAAATGTCCTTGATACAGCAGGTATCCAGGAATAGCTATTTCAATGAGAGCTGATCCTACATTTTGCTATTTACCCACCTTGCCTCCCAAAGTTCAGGCATGCTGGCTTTGTATCATCTGTCAAGATCACTGGCCAGTTACTAGAGGAGCCTAGACATGACCCTGGTTAATTTGAGGACTCTTCTGGGACTTGAGTCTCAGACAAACAGAACCACTCTACAGCAACTCGAGGAAATCTAGTATTGGGCTAGTGATAATTTCAATGGTCTCTGTAAGATTAAATTGTCCCAGAGGAAATTAAAATCTCAAAAATTCTGGACTGTCAATGAATTAAAACCCAAATGACCCTATGGTTTACCTACAGAAAAAGTCTGAACCTATGCTTGCTGTCTGCTCAGCCAGGTCACAACCAAGGTGGCCCTGTTCAACATCTTCTAAATAATGCCTGTAGTATCAAGAGAGCCCATGAACTTACTCTGACCATCAAACAAATGGAGGAATCCCTGAAGGTTACATATGTATGTCACCAATCCCATGTTCAAGTTCACTAAGCAACAGGTATGACCAGAGACATCATAAAATGACCAATACTAAGATTCCTCATAGAAAACTCTGGAAATCAATCCTCATTGTCAGTTATCACTTCTCCCAAAAAGAAAAGGCAAGCAGGACTCTCATTTGCCTGCCCAAGCAGATCTTGATCCAGGTTATTTTAGGACTTTTTACCTGGCTGTCTCCTTCCATTCAGCATCTTCTCCCTCTTTCATACAGATCTCATCCAGCTCTGTGAATAGCTCATGAGGTACATGCTCCTCATCTTCCTCAGTGCCAAGAATGAATTGAACACGCTGAGATGGTGTGTCTATGAAATCAATCACAGGGAAAGATCTGCATCTAGCCTCAAAACCAGAACAAAAATAGCATTCTGCCTTATCTAACAACTTCAGGAACGTATAGAAAAGGATCCCTAGTACAGATCAGAAATTTTCCTTTATTTTCAGAGAAAAAGCTATTCTGTGGAAGTAGTTTCATGAGAGGGAAAATTTATGAACTAAGGCCGCTTACAGAAATCCCATAAAAACCCTAAAGTATGACAAATTTGGTCAAAAGGAATGGTTAACTCTCTAGCAAAGGATTTTACCTATTATTGTATAAACTAGGGAGGAGTTGCTAAACTGTTGAGTTTTCATGAAGATACTTTTGGTTCTTACAGGATTTCCACTTGAAAGCAAGCTCTGAAAACTGTACCAAAGGTCTAATGAATCTAGTGCATCTGCTTTTGTCTCCCACATGCTCCTTGGCCTCACCAAGCCTTCTGGATACCCACCCTCCCTCCCAAAGTTGTTACCATGGGCTAGAGCTTCCAGGCCCTCCTCCCCCTGGCTGGCTCCTTTGCCCCGCCCTCGTCTTCGGTGCTTCTGGCCATGGGTGCGGTGGTGCCGATGGCTCTGCCGGCCCAGTGGCATCCGAACCCCCACATACAGAGTTCTGTGACCTGGAAAGAAGCAGAAGGTCTGTGGAATTAGTTCCTTTAGTAAAAGGAGCCTAGCATAGTTAGGAGCAAAAGAATCACAGAAAAAATTGCAGTTTTTTGATAACAACAAAACTTCAAAGACTTGCAGGACTACAGATATAGCAATCTCAGAGATGAAGGTGTCTTCTTCTGTCTTGCATATGGCTGCAAACCTTACAGGGATGTTAGGAAGATAAAAGAAATAATGTGCATTAGGGGTTGGTGATATAACTCAGTGGTAGAGTGCATGCTCAGAACTCCCCAACCCCTGTAAAAAAAAGACACATGAATATGACTTGCAAACTATAAAGGCCTATACAATTTAAGTTATTATTATTACAGTGATAATCTAACTTTTAAAAATGAAATACAATTTTCTTATGATGATTCTGGCAAGTCTTGGCAGGGAGGCAGTTTAGAAAAATGTTTAAGAGCACAATTAAGGCTCAAAAGAGCCTGCCTAGATCCAAGACTCCATTTCATTATTTGCTAGCCATGTCACCTTGAACTAGTTATCTAATCTCTCTGTGATTCATCTTTTAGAAGAAATACTAAAAGCTTACTATTTAGACCCATAAGCTTGTCATAAGTAGTAAATAAGATAATGCATATAAAATGCTTAATGTAATATCGAAATACATCAGCCAATACATTCTAGAATAGTCTTGCATTTTTTTTCTCGAATTGTAGAATACACAATCTAAAATAGTAGTTAAAGACTAGTTATAAATCATAAGGAGCATGATGCTGGGTTTAAAGAGAAATATTAAATATTGTACAAAGAGTGAGGAACATGAGAAAATAAGTGATCCAATAACATTCCACTCTAGATCCTCCCTACTCCCTCATTCCTTCAATAAGCCTGTTTTTTGTTTTGATTCTCCTACTGACTTCATCAGCCTTCCTGCCAAACCTGGAGCTCAGAATCACTAGCTACAGAGCTTCTCTCACCCCCAAAACACAGAGTCTTGGTCTTCCCCTTATTTCTACCTGATTTCTACAAATCTGAAACCTTATCCACATTCCCTCTGTCTGATCAGATGACTTTGCTTTATATTTTACCAAGAAGACTAAGGCCCTCTCATGTGAACTTTCTCCATCTCAATCTGGCTCTTCTCTTTGTCAGGCTCTCAATCCATTGCTGCTCACTCCTCTGGAGTCCCTGTGCCTCAGCTATCCTCAGCCTCTCCTTTCTATCCATCCCTTCCACAGGTTTCTGACGATTTTTTTTTGTTTGTTTGTTTTGTTTTGTTTTTTTCTGATTTTGTCAGATACTATGAGTTTATTTTTGTTTATCCAATTTAATTTTTTTTGGTTGCTCAAAACATTACAATGATCTTGACATATCATATTTCATACATTTGATTCAAGTGGGGTATGAATTCTTATTTTTACCATGTGTACAGATTGCAGGATCACATTGGTTATACATCCACGTTTGTATATACTGCCATACTAGTGTCTGTTGTATTCTGCTGCTTTTCTTATCCCCTTCCTATCCCCCCTCCCCTCCCCGATCTTAAAAGGAAACCTTCCTAATGCTGTACTTCTCCCAAATTTCCACTTTTCCTTCCTTTTCCATCAAATCATTTTCATGAACTCACCGACCTAACTCTTTCCTCACCAATTCCTTGTTCCATGAAAGTTGTTCCTTGTTCCATAGAAGTTAACAAAGCAGGGGGCCTCCTTCCTGCCTCTCATACTAATTTAACCTTACAAACTAATCCTCCTGGTCACATCTCTGATCACAGCTCATCTTTTTGAATTTACGATTCTTCATGATGAATCCTCAGCCTCCTTTCTAATATTTTCTTCTGTTAGGACAAGTTATACATTCAATGTGAAAAAAAAAGACCTCCAAGAGATCAGCTCAAGAGACATAAAAGGCAAATCCTCCATGCTTATACAGAACAAATATTCTGGGGGAAAAAAATCTAGAGATATACATCTTCTGCCCCTCTCCCAGTAACAGAGCGGCCTGTTTTCACTCCATCTTCTCATGGCCTTGGCCGATGCGTGCACTACCCCCTCATACAGTTCTTCTCTACCTGAATCAAATTGTTATTCTACAAATGTGCCAATGCTTTCTGGGCACTGAGTTGGTTCTCTCATCCAAGATTCATTGCAAATGCACCTTCCTTCTTAGTATTATTTCTGATTTCCCTGATCAGATGTGCTGCCTCCTTTCTCTAAATACTCAGATCCCTTGGTTAGCACTTTTCTTATACACTTATTTTCTGCCTTGCATTAAAGTCTAGCAGGTGTCTTATCTTGTCACTATTCATCTGCAAGCTCCTCAAGGTCCTAGGTCAGACTCTCAGAATCCCTAGCACAGGGTCTTACACATTGTCAGTGCTCCACAAACATTCAGCAAATGGAATGAATGTCTTCTAAGGGCCTCCCCTAGGAGTATAAACCCTTAGGACTCCCTCAGGACTATACCATCTGACCTAAGAGGGTCTCTGATCTGAAAGATGCCACAAAAGGAACCTGTAACTAAAGTAAGTGTGTTTAGGGTAGATGAAACACTAACCAGAGCATGGGGGGATTGAGAAGATCCTTAGCAACCTGAGAATAGAAAGCTTAATCAGGAAGACTTCCCAGAAAGGCAGACTCTAGGAGAAGAATTGCCAACTATACATCTTTTCCCAGTAGTGGAATTTCCTAAAACTGCACGCAGCTTCCTTGATAGCATGCCCCACTTCCAAGTGGTGATAAAGTGTCTTGGGTACTGCTCTAATATCCCTTTGTCTATTTCCCCCTCCTTTCTTTGTCTTTCCTATTTTCTAAATTCCAAAGTGATAAAGAAAAATTGAACAGAAACAATGAGGACTAAATGAGAAATGGTCAGAGACTTGTTAGACTGTAGAGAGGCAGGAGGATAAAATGTTTAGCATCTGATGGAACTGCACCTTTATCCTCCTCCAGTATAAGAATAGTCTTAGGTTGCCTCATACACATCTCAGCACATTTTTGACTGTCAGATCTCTAAATATAATGTGGCCATTTTACAACTTCATAAAGAGAAAAAGAGAGTCAGGAATGTTGGCACACAACTGCAATACCAGCTACTCAGGAGGCTTAAGATAATAGAATCACAAGTTCAAGGCCAACCTCAGTAACTTAGTAAGACCCTGTCTCAAAATAAACAAATAAAAAGGCTGGGGATGTAGATCATCAATGGAGCACCCCTGGATTCAACCACTGTACCATAAAGAGAAAAATATAGAGCCAAAGGAGATCAGCTGCTAAGAATCGGGATTCTAGACCTGACATTATAAAATATAAAGGGTATAAAATATGAATATGATTAAGTTGAAGATAATCTGTTAATTAATAATATTCCACTATAGTATACCAATGAAGTCCTTATGGTACACCACTGAGATCAATCCAGGTAACATTAACAGGAGACTAGAGTCATCTAATCCTATCCCAAAGGTGGGGGATACAATTGTGAATGACACAGTCTTCAGGATGTATTTCTAGTTGAGGGAGACAGACATTACAAAAATAAAAAGGTGTTATTTCAAATATTAATAATTAAAAATCAAAGGTAAAGTGCCAAAGTGTCTGTAATAGGGGGTAGAATGGAGAAGAAAGACTATTTATTTATTATTGGTATTAGTGATTGAACCAAAGGAAGCTTTACCACTAAGCTATATCCACAGTTCTTTTTTTTTATTTTGAGATAGGGTCTCACTAAGTTGCTTAGGGCCTTGCTAAGTTAACCAGGCTGGCCTTGAACTTGCAATCCTCCTGCCTCAGCCTCCTGAGAAACTGGGATAACAGGCATGTTCAACAATGCCTGGCAAGAAGCAAGACCTTAGCTAAGATGATTAGAGGGAAAGTCATGATAATGAGATAGTAAGGCCAAAAGAAAACTTGGGAGAGGATTATTTTAGGGAAAGGGAAGATCAAGTGCACATGCCCTAAGCTAGAATGTGCAGGGCTGGTTCCAAGGCAAAATGACATCCAGTAATGCCAGAGCAAGGTAGAAAATGGAAGGAAAGGATTTCAAAGAGGACAGAAAGACTGGTAGGAGCAGATTGTAAATCCATAGGCCATGAAAAACATAATTAGATCCCAGAGAACCACTTCAAATGACCCTTAAATTGGTGATGTTGGTGTTGAAAAGTTTGGCACATATAGGTACAGCTGGACTTGGGAAAAGAACCACCTCACTGAGGGATGAAATTCAGTCTTTCATTTCATCTACTTCAACCATGGGCTTCCTCTTTCCTCAAAATGCCCCCAAAAGCCAGGCTATGACCCCCACTTCTCATTGAGCACATTCCAAATACTTCCACTAGGCTTACACTGGAATTTGCTAGTATTATTTAATGTTAATTATATTCTAAAGAGAAATTGAGAAGGTAGTGATTAGGTATTAGAATCAATGTTATTAGATCTCATTTTGTTTGTTAATTAGCTCACTGTAACTATTAGTAAAAACAAAAAGAATAGATCTCCTTATTGACTTCCTACATCTTGTCCAGATGATGGTGAGTCCAGATTCTAATATTCAATTTCTAGAAAAGGTTCAGGACAGATCATTCTTTAGAGATAACACAATGGTTCAATTGTTCTAACTATCTCTATTTATCTCTTCAGAGAAGGATCACAGAAGGTACTCAGTAAATGTTTGCTGACTAATTCATATACGGCTTTGCTTGATATCTAAATTCCCACTCTGTGAGTCTGAGTATAATGGGAGCAAGTTTCTGGAGCAAGGAAGACAAAAATCTTAAGGAAGACATTCTGCCTACCTCTAGAAAACTTTTAGAGAGATGGGCAGAAATGAAAACAAGCTCAACAGGGATCACAGCTAAGAAGGACCAAATGGTTGTTGGAAAATTAGATATCAGTTTCTAGGTTGGGGATTCTGAAGTAGGAATTTGTATTTTCTGAATGAAATTTAGCAGAAAAGATGACAATTACATATTAGGAAGAAATATAGCACTAATAAATTTCAGTCCATCTAACTGGATTCTGGCAGTCCTTTACCAAACTAATCTTGTGGCCACTTCATTAGTCGTTCAATTACTCTTTTACCCACAGTCTTTTCCCTTTCATCTTCCTACCAACTTACAAAAATACCATTTCTTCCCATCTAATTCCTCATTCTTTTTTACTACTCAGTATCAAAACTAGTCTATTGTGGCTATCTGTGTGCAAAAATAGTATTCCAATTGAGCAAAACTTATGAGATGTAACATTAGTGTGTATTTTTTAAAATAAGTATTTATCCACATATATAGAACAAGCATTATTAAGCTGGCACTGAATCTTGTGGAGCAGGATAGAAACCATAGGTATTACCATGTGACCAATATATAATGCAGTATACTCACACTGTTTACCCCACATTCACAGAGAACCATTAGCATATACTAAAGGATGTTCTGCTCCTATGGGTTGAGAGGTTGACTCAAAATCACAGGGGGAAACCTAAGTGTAGAACAGATGTAAGCCTTTTTTTAAAAAGTAATAATTGTGATCAAATAGCTCTTACATCTGCTAAAACTTACAAAGTCGTTAAACTTGTTCCAGGATTTATAAATCTAGTATTTAATTAAAAAAAATAATGACCTGCCAAAAAAATGGAAAAAACATTCCTCTAACTAAAGCAACTGCCCTGTTTTCCCCTGGGACTATAAAGCATATCATGGAATATTTCTCTTCTTGCATTTATCTCTGAAACTCTGTTCTACTGTTTGCTTTTGAATACATATATGTGTGTGTGTGTGTGTGTATGTGTATATATGGTATATAATACATGCATACATTATACACACACACACATATGGCAACATTATGATATAGTATAACTTCTCTTACTGATAGAATTAGTTGGTGCAAGAAGAACCACAGAAATTGTTCTGAAAATGGGGTTAGGGGAATGGTTTATATCATGTAGGTAGAAGGTGTTGAATAAAGGGACAGGAAGATCTGCAACTTTCTCTGCAGCTAGAACTTTGTATCATAGCATGTGTATTATTATTTTTTATTTGTTTTACTTAGTTACACATGACAGCACAATGATCTTGACATATCATACATTTGAATCAGATGGTATATAATTTCTCATTTTTCTGAGTGTACAGGTTGTAGAATTACATCGATCATGCAGTCACATATTTACCCACAGCAATAATAATGTCTATTTTATTCTCCTGTCCTTATTGAGTCACAACACAATTTATTTCTGTCTTCCATCAAACGAGGACTGATTTTATTCCATCTCTTCAAGAGACACCACCACCCTGACAGCCTTACTGAATCTGAAGAATGCACTCAGTAGTGAGCCAAGGGTGACCCCCACAGTATGGCCAATCCTACAGCAAATCCCAACTCCCTCTCTTTTTCAGAGCTGCTCTCAAACCATATCAAGCCTAGGGAGTGGGTACCATTTGTCCTCTATTTTCCTGTAGTGCTTTTTCAAAAAAAAAAATGCTTTCATAGAAAAGATCCTAGCTTTCAGAAAGGTCTATGCATAAAGGACCATTTCCCAATACACTACCCTCTAGAAACACTGTCATCATATGCAGCCTTCTTTACAGAATAGAGCATTGTAGAAGGAACAGATGATGTCATCTGGAGATGCTATTCCTGCTGCCAATTACTTAGCTGACTTCTGTGGATGAAGCCTAGTCCTCAGGATCTGAATGCCTGCCCAGGTTTATAATTCTATAATTCTATTCCCAAGTAGACAAAAGTATTCATAAATGCTTACCTCTTTTGCTAGAGGACAACTAAACAAATAGCAACATGTCCCCAAGGTGTAATAAGAAGGTAGAGAACAGGATTATCAGCAAAGAAGAAGAGACAGGCACAACATTAAAATACCTACCTTATGGAGTAAAACTGAAATTGGATCTTTAATGCTGGATACTGTCCTCCCTTGCAGGCAGTGTGCCAAAATGAAAGAAGCAGGACTCTATCCAATGATATTAAGCTAGATGACCCTGTGCAGTTTTCCCAGATGTGAAATTTGGATAATGATACCTGCCTAGAGTACTAAGAAAATGCAAAAGACAACTTGCATAAAGTGCTTAATCTGATGTCTAAAATTAAAGGGCATTCGATAAATAGTAGTCTCTCGCTCCACACCCTTCCCCTATCTCTCCTACTTTCTCTCATTTGCTGAAACCCACAATGGCTTTTCATCTGTATAGTCAAAATAACTTGAAAAACTTGACCTTGATATACCTGAACACCACTGACCACCATAGAGCCGCCCACATAAGTTCTCATGGCTGAGTCAGCCTTCATTATCTTCCCATCCAAAGGACAAGCTTTCTCTGAGGGTTGTACAACTTCGATGAAAAAACCATCATAGGAACAAGCAATACAGAGAGAACATTTCACATGCTGTCTAAGGCATCAGAAAGTTGCTGAATCATAGCCTTCAGCTGTGCAGGGGATGCTGCAGATACGTCACAAAGACTTTTAGGCCAAATGTGACTTCTTAAGAAAGCTCTACTTATGGAATACATAAAACAGATTCTTCTAAACAAAACTGAACATTACGATTCAGGAATCATGGCTAGATATGAGTATGATTGCCAAAGTTCCAACTAGGCTCTGTGGAAAAAAGAAAAGCATTAGGACATCGCGATAGTCATGTGTGGGGAGCTAGAGAGGAGAGAAGAGAAAGGAAGAAGAATCCTAATAAAGTAAATTAGAGCCAGTGAGCAAAAGTGCCTTTTTCTTCCTTCTGAGTCAGTTGGGGTTTAATTTTTTATATACTTTTTATTGTCAATGGACCTTTATTTTATTTATTTTTATGTGGTGCTGAGAATCAAACCCAGTGCCTCACACATGCTAGGCAAGCGTTCTACCACTGAGCCACAACCCCAGCCCCATCAGTTGGGTTTTTCAACTGAGGTTTTTATATAACTTTGAGCTATGAACTCCTAGAGAGTATGTCACAGGTATGTTCCTGTTTTCCCTTTTCTTGTTTATGTGAAACATCAAGTAGAAATGGGTATAGTTAGAATAGGAAAAGAAAATATTGTGAATGGGGTTTAAAAAAAAGAGGGTTTTATAGCCAAATTGAGTTTTAAAAACTATTTGTATTTTATTTTCTTTTAAAAATTTCTATATACTCATACTTCCAGGAACTTGTCAAGAATCAATTAATTAAACTCTGAACTGAGTACTTCACATTCTCAAGGTATAGATTATTTATTAGTATTTAGATTGAACCTTACAGACACTGTATCATATGCTGTTAATTCCTAAGGATATCCTTGTCCAGGTGGGATGGGCATTATTAGCTATGCTTTTATTTAACAGATGAGTACATTGAGGCTAAAATAAATTAAGTGATTTTTCCTCAGGGTCTTATAGCATGAAAAATAGTTAGTACTTAAATCTAGGTCTCCTGAGGGAAAGCCAGGTCTGTTCTTCCTGCATCAGGCTTCCTCTTGCCAATTTCCCTTAATAAACAAGAGCAGCAGCTCTTACCTTCCAGTTCTTCTTTCTCATAGTGAATATTGAGAACTGTACTGGTCCCACCCTGATCTACAACAGCTTCTTCATCTGGTCTCTGTTGAAACACAAATACAAAAAAAATAGTCATAGTACTACACATATATTCATTCAAACACTTAAGTATCTTGAGCTCAGACTCTTTTGAGATACATGAGTGGGGAGCTTGTGGTTTACATAAATATTTAAATTTGAACTTCACAGTAGTTTTGAGATGCAAATATGGCAGCCACTCTTTTTCTCAGTTTATAAATAAGCATCCTGAGACTCAGAGAACACTAAATAATTTTGACTGAAGGTCATGAATATGATAAAAGGTAGAGCTAGAACTGAGCCCAGGTCTTGTGACTGCAGATGTCGTGTCTTTTCCACCACTCTATTCCACCTATGCATCTATATAATGATTTGGCATTTGCAAATGCTGTCAAGCATATTGTCTCTTTTGGTGCAAACTGGTCTCCTTGACCTTTCTGCAACATTTGAATGTTTGCTACACTGTCCTTGAAATTCTCCTCCTTGCTCCTGATCAGGCTTTCTCTGTCTCATCTAAAGGCTCATCTTCTTCTTCCTCTAACCTTAATTTCCAAGGAAGAGCTCTCCTTTTATATATATATATATATATATATATATATATATATGTATATATTGTAGTTGGACACAATACCTTTTATTTTATTTATTTTCATGTGGTGCTGCGGATTGAACCCAGGGCCTTGCACATGCTAGGTAAGTGCTCTACCGCTGAGCCACAATCCCAGCCCCTCCTTTTTATTGACCGTACTGGGGATTGAACCTAGGTGTGCTCTGCCAATGAGCTATATACTCCCAGCTCTTTTTATTTATTTATTTTTTAAATTTTGAGACAGGGTCTTGCTAAATTGCCCAAGCTGGACCCAAACTTTCAATCATCCTGCCTCCACTTCCCAAGATGATGGGATTACAGGCCTAAGTCACCATCTTCTGCTCCAAGGAAGAGTTCTTTTCTCTTTGTTTGTCTTCCTTGAGTTTTACAGTTTCAACCACAGCCTTAAATTGTGTTGCTCAGGACTTGATGAGGCACTGGGATGCTGCAATTCAAAATCCTTGTATCTAAAAGCAAACAAACCTTCCTTTCAAAAGTAGTATCCTTGGGGGGCTGGGGTTGTGGCCCAGCGGTCGAGCGCTCGCCTAGCATGTGCCAGGCGCTGGGTTCAATCCTCAGCACCACATAAAAAAATAAATAATATAAAGGTATTGTGTCCAACTACAGCTAAAAAAATTTTTTTTAGAAAGTAGTACCCTTGGGATGGGGATATGGCTCAGTGATAAAGTACTTGTTTGGCATACACAAGGCACTGGGTTCAATCCCCAGTATTACAAATGAAATTTTTTTTAAAAAAGATAAAATACAATCATGATTCATTTATTCCTACCCATGGTACCATCAATTCTTAGTTCTTGTTAAAAATTTCAAACTTATTTATTCATCCATTCTACATGTATTTAGAGTCTACCATATGCCTTCAGAGAATTAGTTCCCCTTTATTTTTATCAAGTCCCTATTTGCAATTTTTCTCAAATTTTCTCTCATTTCTCATTCATTCTACCCTACACTCTTTAGTCCTTTAGATCATAGAAAGAGTTTTTTTTTGGGGGGTGCTGGAATCACACCCACCTTCTTCTCTGAGGGCTATTTTCTCTGCCTGGAATTACCATTCCTACCATTCTCTCCCTGTTGTTCCCACTCCACCATGGGCAGCTAATACATAGTCATCATCTATTAGATCTCATCATATATACACTTCCTTGGAAGATGTCCTTATCTCATCCCCACTTCTAAACTAAGGTCCCCCCATCTATATGTCCTCATAGTATACCACAATTCTCTTTAGTAATTAAATGTTTCTTTTTGCTCCTATAGGGAGGAACTATCTTCCTCAACATTGTATTCCAGCATGTAACACAGCTTTTTCACATAGTAGGTGTTCAATAAATCTTTGTTAAAAAATAAAATAGCATCTACCTTATTAAATCCTGAGTTGCTTCCAAAAAACTCTTAACTGATATGGCAACCAATCTATTTTCCTTCTCAAATCTGTGATTTGGCCAGGCTGACTGATCGCAAGGGCACTGTGCATATTCTCACCTTCATACCTTTGCTCAAACTGTATGGGATCTGGTTATCTAATATGTCCTTACTCTAAAATTTTTAGCACACTAGTCCTCACCTTTCTTCCAGATCTTGTTCAAATTTCCAGATTACTATTCCAATGTACATGTTCCCCAAAAGGGGGATTCAATCCAAGGCTTTTCATGTGCTAGGCAAACACTCTACCCCTGAGGTACATTTCAGTCTTTTAAAAAATTTTTTCAGTACTAGGGATTTTTATCATTTATTTGAGATAGGGTCTCACTAAGTTGCTCAGGCTGGCCTCAAACTTGCAATCCTTCTACTTTAGCCTCCTAAGACACTGGGATTACTTACAGGCATTGGCTACCATACCTGGCTATTCTTAAATGTTTTTAAATTAATATGTTTATTTATTTTTAGCTCTATCCCTTCAAAAAGTCTAGCACATATGATGAACTAGTAATGAGTATCATTAGCACCTGGACTGTGGTCTCTTAAAATACAATTTTCTACTAAAAGGAATCAGAGCTCCTTGGATAAATGGCTGGTCACAGTTCTGAGTCAGGAAATGACTTTAGATGGTCTAAAACATCTTGTCATAATAAATATTTTTTAAAAGCACTCAAAGACTACCTGGGGTCATGTCAAAAGAACTGTGAAGCCAATTTAAAGAGAACCCTTGTCAAATACTGGAAAAATTGAACATCAAGGGGCTGGGGGTTTGGCTCAGTGGTAGAGTGCTAGCTAAACACGGTGCTGGGTTCGATCCTTAGTACCACATAAAAATATATAAATAAAATAAAGGTATTGTGTCCAACTACAACTAAAAATATTTTTTAAAAGAATTGAACATCAATAGCCACAGATTAAATATATCAAATATGTTAAGATCCATGAGTTTATAATGTCACTTTAAAAATTAAACAAAGGGCTCAGGATATAGCTCAGCAGTAGAGCATTTGCCTAGCTCATGCAAAGCCATAGGTTTAACCCCTGCACATGTGTGCACACAAAAGGATCATTTATCTGGGATTTTCTACATAAATTATACCATACCATAGATGAAAAAGTCAATAAGTGAAAAAGGAATGATTTAAAATATATATATAGATAGATAGATAGATAGATATAGATATAAATATTTTGATATAATATCACCATTTTGAAATCTCTAATGACCTACATAGATTTTTCAATGGCTGCTAATGTCTCAAGAGAGAAAATCCATGACATAATCTTAAGTTATTGTCCGTGAATCTGATTAATCCTCTAAATTCAAATATCAACTTACTGAAAATACTATAAAACAGAGTTCCATGGAAAACAACACTATAGGAACACAACCAATCAACCAGTAGGAATGAGTGTCATTAGTACCTAAATTGTATATCTATTTTTTCAAATTGAACCCAGAAGCACTCTACTACTGAGCAATATCCCAGTTCTTTTTAAATTTTTTAAATTATGAGATAGGTTCTCACTGAATTGTCCAGGCTGGACTTGAACTTGAGATGCTCCCGCCTCAGTTTTATGAGGCATTATAGGTGTGAGTCACCATGCCTGGCTTAGACTGCAGTCTCTTAAAATACCATTCTCTACTAAAAGGAATCAGTTTTAAAAGAAACAATTAAAAGAAGCAATGAACCAATTGCTATGTGTAGGCTTTATGTGGATCCTGATTCAAACAACTAACTAAAAGCTTTCTAAAAAATATCTACATAGGGCTGGGGATGTGGTTCAGTGATAGAACACTTGCCTAGCATGCAGAAGACCTGGGTTTGATCTCCAGCACCACGCACACACAAAAATTATCTACATACTTAGGATGGCCAAAATCCAGGATGCCAAATGCTGAAGAGTGTGTAAAACAATAAGAACTCTCATTTATTGCTGATGGAAGAGCAAAATGCTCTTACAAAACTAAAGATATTCTTACTATATGATTTAGCAATTGTGCTGCTTGGTATTTACTCAAAATAATCAAAAACCTATGTCCACACAAACACCTGAACACAGTTTTTATTCATAATTGTGAAAACTTAGAAGTAACTGAGATGTCCCTTCAATAGGTGAACAATAAATAAACTATGGTATATCTAAATAATGGAATATTATTCAGTCACTAAAAGAAAATGAACCATTAAGCCATAAAAAGACATAGAGAAACCTTAAATGTATATTACTAAGAAACCAATTGAAAAAAAGGTTATATACTGTATAATTCCAACTATATAACATTGTGGAAGAGGAAAAATAATGTAGACAATAAAAAGATCAATGGTCACCAGGTAGATTAGAGGGGAGGGAGGGATAAATAGGTAAACACAGATTTTTAGGGAATGAAAATGCTGTGTATGATACTATAATGGTGGATAAATGTCATTATACATTTATCCTTTCAGAGATATATACCGGGAAAAAAAAGAGATATATACTGAAATATTTTCAGATGAACAGAAAATTTATACATGTAAAATAACTTATTTAGAAATATTAATTTTATAAATTTTATAAAAATAATAGTCAAAATATCCAGATAAATCTTTAACTTCAATGTTTTCTTCAACACTATAGGTGATTTGATTTAATTAACACAATTTTTTGCATAGTAGTTTTAGTTCCAGCTTAGCGGTAAAGACTCTTGTATACTGTTTTTCTGAGCATGTAGAAAGCCCTGCATTTTGTTTTTTGTTTGTTTGTTTATGGTATTAGTGATTGAACTCAAGGTTTTACACATGCTAGGTAAGGCTCTATCACTGAGCTAAATCCCTAGCCCCTGAGGAATAATTTTTAAGTGGAAATAAACTTGGCTTTATTTTGGACTTATTATTTGCTCACCTAGCTTATCTTTTAGATCATGAATTCCCTGACTGCAGCATAATGTTTTTGTTTCTATAATGTGTTTTTCATCTTCTGTTCTCTCAAAAGCCAATATAATAGTTTACCAC